CCAGGATAACCTACGATCAAAGAGGAGGCCCAGAAACTTAACTGTATCACGTTCAGGGATACGGGAGCCATAGAGGTACAAAGGATGATCAGAGACGACAGAGCGTCTAGTGAAAGTAATTTGGTGAGTTTTGGTGCTGGAAACTTTAAACCCATGTGTGGTGGCCCAATTGGAAACACGGTCGACCGCATGCTGGAGGGAAACTGTAATGAGATGACAGTAAGCGCCTGCACAGGCAATAGCGAAGTCATCAACATAGAGTGATGACCAAATATTTGATGGAAGACTAGAGGCCAAATCATTAATAGCAAGGAGAAAAAGTGTTGTGCTCAGAACACATCCCTGGGGGACACCTTCAGCTTGGATAAAGTCCGGGGAGAGCACATTATTAACCCAAACACAGAAATGCCTGTCAGTTAAAAAGTTCTTGGGGAAGGATGGTAGATTGCCTCGGAGGCCTAAGGAATGGGCTTGGGCCAAAATGTTATACCTCCAAGTTTTGCTGTGCGTAACCTACTGACTAAACACACTTCATCTGCTCCTGTCCTGGCCACTCTGCCTGTGAAAGGAATAAGACGCGTCCGCTTTCAGTTCAATCCTGGTACTATGGAGCATTATTTTTTTAAATATTTTTTCTGCATTTTACTGCATAATCAAACCACCCCAACAACCCCTCTTCAGCCCTCTGACTAATACTTTTAGTAACTCCACACCTCCTCCTAATTTCCACACTACGAATTCTCTGCATAATATTGACACCACATTGCCCTTAGACAGGACATCTCCACTGCCTCCAGCCACCTCCTCGCTGCAGCATTTATAACCCAAGCTGCACAACCATATAAGACTGCTGGTCCCACTATACTTTCATACATTCCCTTCTTTGCCTCCATGGATAATGTTTTTTGTCTCCACAGATACCTCAATGCACCACTCACCTTTTTTCCTTCATCAATTCTATGGTTAACCTCATCCTTCATAAACCCATCCGATGACAAGTCAACTTCCAAATATCTGAAAACATTCACTTCTTCCATACTCCCTCTCTCCAATGTGATATCCAATTTTCCTTATGTATATATAAAAAAATACATTTGTTTGACAGAGATTGATTAAAAAGTTGTTATTATTAATGCTGAATTATAATTTTTTTTGCTACATTTTTAAGAAATGCACAGTATTTTGTATATGTTCATTTTATACATGTGTGACTAGCTCATGTTGACTAAGTAATTATATTTATGGAGATCAAATAACTGTGTTCAGGGGTAGCTGCTATTGCCACTGCCATACACTGGACACATCAGCAAGCAAACCATGGGATAATAAGAGCTCAACTTGCTTATGCCATTCCCTCTTCCCTACACACAATTATCCTCACTACTACTTCCCACACTAAATACCCAGGCACAGTAACCCTCACCATAATAATGAGGTAGTGATGAGTTAATGTAGAGTTAGCTACAATACAAGAGAGGGTGGGATTGAATATGTGAGTGAGGCAGGCAGTCGAGTTGTTACCCACCCATATACCTGTCCCTCCCATTCCTCCCACACCACACACTCATGTACATTAGTAAGTGGAGAACATATGTAAAGAGTAGTGTAGTGAATATGATGCAAGAAAGGTGGGAGTCAATAAGACAATGAAAAAGAGGATACAGTCCAGCTGCTGTGTGCCCCTATACATCAGTACTGCACTATCCTACTCCCTATACAGTACTGCAAGTCTCTACAATATGTATAAAGAAACCGTAGTGAATGCATATGGGGTAAATATTCTAAGTTAAAAATGAAATTAGGTATAGAATATTATGGCTCAGAAATGCATTTCTAATTATAACACAGAGATATGTGGGAAAAAAGGTTTCAGGAACACTTGATCATCATAAGTTGGGGCTCCACTATATTTAACCAAAAATAAGTAAATTAGAAAAACAGGCCATAATGCAAATGGTAACAAGGTGACCAAAGAAAAACAGAAAATGTGCAGTAGTTGATGTTAATCACTCTTGGTAGGAGAATGTGTTATGTAAATAAGCCCTGTATCAAACAGTGATGAGTCACAATGCAAGACTTAGACAACAAATATCGATGGCACCAGATATATTTACCAAAGACTCCACAGTCAAATGAACATATGTTGGAGTAAGAGAAATTTTCCATTTAACTAGAATTTTCAGTTATGAAGAATTTAGATACATAAATAAGGTGCAACTGTACAATGTTTAGCCTGCAACTATTCAGGTACAATTCCAAAATAAAATAAGCCATTTTTAATACATACCTTAATATTAATACCTTGAAAATATATAAATTAAAGACTAGAATAATGACTAGAAAAACTATATATTGAGCAAAGCACTCTGAACATATGAAAATGGTAATGTATGTATGTAACTCACAAAAAATTCACATGAGGAATAATAGTAAAATTTTATATTAGTTTAACCTAAGTTTTAACATATTACTGCAGTGGTATAGTACATATAATATTACAAACAGTTTTACGTTTGTGAATTTAAACAGCAGAGATTATATAAGCTTGGCTTGGCTATTCATGTTCAGAAATATGAAGCGAAATCATGCCATTTTCTGGCTAGAAGAAGAAGAGATGAAGAGCCAAGTGCTATGTAATGTATGAGAATTACATTCAAAGATTACATTCTTTCCTCTACTAGTGGGCTGTGCCTCACTTTTTGACAGTATATAAGTCATCATACTGTTGCTTTAATTTCACACTGTTCCAGACTATGAAGCAAAACTCTTCTCCTGGCTGAGGAACTGACCACCTCAAAACTGTCTTCAAGGGTGATGGACTGATTACATCATCTTCACATTTCTACTGCTTCTGCTAACTCTTCTGTACTGAAGAAGCCTACTGTGTAGGCGAAACATTTCAGAATAAAGATACCCAACTGTTGTACATGTGTGTTATAAACCAGCTTGTGATTATTTCAAATTTTATCCTTTGTTTCAAAATAACTACAAAAGATAATTTATTCTTGACACATTTAACTAATATTCAAAACTATATTAAAACTAAATTTTTTATATCTCATAAGTTAATATTTTAAATTTATAATTTACTTGTTATAGTATATACAGTGGACCCCCGGTATTCGATGGCATCAGTATTCAATAAATCCGGTATTCGATGCATTATATCGCAAAAATTTTGCCTCGGCATCCGATCGAAAACCCGGTATTCGATGCGATTCGTACGAGACGTGTCCACGTGTGGCCTGAACTGCCCTGTGTGTGCCAGTGTTTACAAGCCAGCCAGTGTGCGCGCAGGTCATTTCCAACTTCAAGAAACTGTACACAAAAGCTATGTTTCAAAAGTGCTTTGTAGTGACCACAGAAACTCAACTGACTCTAAAAGAGTTTTGGAAGGATCACTTTAATATTCTCAATTGTATAAACCTTATAGGTATGGCTTGGGAGGGAGTGACTAAGAGGACCTTGAACTCTGCTTGGAAAAAACTGTGGCCAGAATGTGTAGACAAAAGGGATTTTGAAGGATTTGAGGCTAACCCTGAGAAGCTTATGCCAGTTGAGGAATCCATTGTGGCATTGGGGAAGTCCTTGGGGTTGGAGGTTAGTGAGGAGGATGTGGAAGAGTTGGTGGAGGAGGACAATGAAGAACTAACAACTGATGAGCTGCTAGATCATCTTCAACAGCAAGAGGCCAGACCTGAGGAAACTGCTTCGGAGGAGGGGATAGAGAAATTGAAGAAGTTGCCTACTTCAAAGATTAAGGAAATGTGTGCAATGTGGCTTAAAGTGCAAACCTTTTTTGATGACAATCACCCTAACACAGCTATTGCAAGCCGTGCTGGTGACTATTACACTGACAATGTTGTGAAACACTTTAGGAATGTCATAAAGGAACAGGAGGTACAGGCCACTATGGACAGATATGTTGTGCGACAGAAGTCCAGTGACTCTCAAGCTGGTCCTAGTGGCATTAAAAGAAGAAAGGAAGTAGCCCCGGAAAAGGACTTGCTACCTCAAGTCCTAATGGAAGGGGATTCCCCTTCTAAACACTAACACCTCTCCCCTCCTATCCCATCAATCATCACCAGATCTTCATTAAAGGTAAGTGTCAATTATTCTATTGTTATTGTTGTTATTGTAATTATTCTATTGCATTGAACTTAATATTTCATGTGGTAAAATTTTTTTTTTTCATACTTTTGGGTGTCTTGCACGGATTAATTTGATTTCCATTATTTCTTATGAGGAAAATTGATTCGCTTTTCGATATTCGATGAGCTCTCAGGAACGGATTAATATCAAATACCGGGGGTCCACTGTACATCAATGTCCTTTTCTCTGTAAATAGTATTACTGTAGTTGTGATATATATGGAACACTTTCACTGCATAATTTACACAGTGCTCACAGCCATAAAAAAAATAGTATGTACAACAAAATAAAAGCAAGGACAAAATTAACAAACAAAAGCAATGATCATAAACACTCATCACAAATAAATGCTATTACACCAATTTAAAATAACCAGCACCAATTAGAAACCCCATTAAATTGTGAATCTCAAAAGATTCTCCCCCCATCCCCCAAAAAGTTCCCCGAGGCACCCTACAAGCTCCTCAGTAATTATAGATACTATGAATGAAGAGCTTCTCTTCTAAATACCTTCGATGTTACACCACAGAATAGAAGACGATCAAAAGTGTTTCCTACTAGATGTTTTGTATTTACTGCTGTAATGACTTACTGGTACGAGATAATCCAGGTAAAACCTTAAAAACTTACATAAATTTAAAGCTTCAGCAACACTTTAATTACATATGACAGTACTCGAGGTCATGCTTTCCTCAGTCAAATACTTCGTATTCATTACTTTTCAGAGAGTTGCAAATCAAATTTTATATTTTTTTAACCCTTTCAGGGTCCACAGGCCCTCTCAGAGACTTGTTCTCAGGGTCCCCCAAATTTCAAAAAAAAAAAAAAAAAAAAAAAAAAAAAAAAAAAAAAAAAAAAAAAAAAAAATCTAATGAAAAGATAGAGAATCTTTTCCCAATCATAATGACACCAAAAGTATGAAATTTGATGGAAAACTTACGGAATTATGCTCTCGCTAAGTTAGCGGTCTCGACAATGTTCATGCATCAGCGATTTTGCCCACTTTGAGCCCTATTTTCGGCCAATTCCAATGTACTAGTTGACAAAAATCATAACTATTTCACTAGAACTCCATTTTTTCTATCGAATAAGTACAAGAAACCACCAATTTACCGATTTCAACTTTCCAATACAGTGGTCAGAATTTAGCAATTTTGCTAATTTCACACAAATTTCAAAAGATGCCAATTTCCAAATGGGGTCCAGAATAAACAAGAAAGACATTCCTGGCACTAAAATAATATTTCCTCTGTTCATTAGTCATGTCCCCACACCTCTCTTACATTCTTTTGCTTTCCATTTTGAATTTTTATTCTCACAAAAAATAGAAGATTTACTGTTATGCAGACTACTGCATTAGTGTAGAAATGGTATAAATAATATCGGCGCACTTGTGAAAGAATATTAGACTCACCAGTTGACATGTATTGGACGCTTAGCATGATTTGTTTACTTTTGAACTTTGGTAAAAATCGAACATTTCTGCTACTTTGAGCTCAATTTCAAGGTACTTTTCATTGTAAAACTATTCAAAATCATCTCAATTTCTGTAATATGTCTTCCATTCTATAGAATGAGACCAGGAAAACTAGAATACAACAATAAATACCATACGAAAATACAGCGCAAAGTCGCTGTTTTAATCCAAAAACACTGTCAAAGTTTTTTTTTTCTCATTACGCACTGTGTGCTGCAGGATTTTTTTATACTGTGCACACTGACCACATAGACCCATTCTTTCATATGTAGGCCTACCAGCTTTCTCTCACTAGATTTGAAGGCGCTAGAATTTATGAGTACTAGTATGTCATGGACCCTGGTCCATAAGCCGTACCAGTACGGCCAAAACCCTGAAAGGGTTAATAATTTTCTCATACCACTGGGTGTCATATTTTGCTATAAAAGTAATATAAATATTTATATTTTCTCTTGCCTAAAAATACTAATTAGCAATCAGACTTAGATGGATTTTCAAAATATTGTTAGGAAATTATCATGATTATTTGTCATAAAAGCTCATTTATAATACTGTACATATAAAACTTATATGTTTAACACCCTTTTCACAAAAAATCTATTCTAATAATCATATGGCAAACCTTTGCCTGGAAATATAAAACTAGTTTGAGACACAACTCTTGTTGGAATACAACCATGTCTCGATTAGTGTGAGTTTGAACAATGTGAATTTCAATTACGTGCAAAATTAATTAATGCTAGTTTTTTCCAAGCTCTTCAAATCATGCGTAAAAGTTACATGTAATTTGAGGTGCGAATTTGTATAATGTGACCACTTCGAGGGATTCTTCATTTTTCACACTAATCAAGACCTAGCTATATACATGATATGGCCGCAACTTCTGCATAATGCCTTAATAACTAAACAGGCATTTTCATCGTCATAGAAAGTTAGAGGCACTTTTCAAGGCCTTTATTAAAAAGCCAATTACTAGACACAAACCTACACCGCTACATACCTTGAAATAAACCAGACAGGCTAATTCTGCAAATTTTATATGAAGAAACAAAACACTTGCAACTATAACTAATTTTTGGTCATTAATAAAATAAGAGGATTAATCAGAAATCAATTTCTTTAAAAGTACTTCTCTAGAGGCTCTCGGTTGCCTCTCTTCCCCAAAACTGAGTCACCTTTATATGGTGTGGGATATCCCATGGATTGTCCTTTGGTAGCAACTGTCACCCTTGCCTAGTTCATGGATGGAAACCAAGTGTACATGTACTTTCTTTGGTTTCAATAGTGAGGACACTTCCTTGTCAAAATCTTAGTGCTGATGACTCCAACAGGTTCAGCACATTTTCATAATTAAAAACAATAGATTTTGGTAAGGATACCTTTAACTTTACTAACAAAAAGTTTTAAATCAAAACATAAGTTACTCCAAGATAGTGTCTGTGAGTCTGCATTGAAAATGAAGTTGAATCTTAGCTAATTTTTATATCGTAAGAAAACAAATAAGCAATAAATAACAGACGCACAAATTTACTACAGTTTATAACAAATAAGCAATAAATAACAGATGCAAAAATTTACTATAGTTTATAACAATGTTTTGATCTAAAACTGTTCTGTTAACCATGTCATGTTGTACTAAACTGATCTGTATAAACCTCAAGCAGTGAAATGCCTTTGTGCAGTACAGCGCAGTATTTACACACAACACAAGATCAGAGCATTATAAGGTGGACGTACTTTCACCTCATGTAATGCTTAAAACTTCTGTCATGCTAGTGTAGGGGGAACCCTGGAAGTGTGATTAAGCTCTTGATCACTTGCTGCACTAGCAGATCCATTTAGCATTAGTGGAGCAGTCTTGTGGTAGCGTCTCAAGAAAGATTTCTTCTTGGAGGGTTTAATTGTAGATTCCAACTCCAATTGTTCTCCTAAAAGAAGTAATACTTTGTTTAACCATTACTGCATTTAATTTTTTTTTTTTTAACAAGTCAGCTGTCTCCCAACGAGGCAGGGTGACCCAAAAAAAAAAAAAGAAAGAAAATCCCCAAAAAGAAAATACTTTCATCATCATTCAACTCTTTTACCTCACTCACACATAATCACTGTTTTTGCAGAGGTGCCCATAATACAACAGTTTAAAAGTCTTCTTTCTTTCTTTCAACACACCGGCCGCATCCCACCGAGGCGGGGTGGCCCAAAAGGAAAAACGAAAGTTTCTCCTTTTACATTTAGTAATATATACAGGAGAAGAGGTTACTAGCCCCTTGCTCCCGGCATTTTAGTCGCCTTTTACAACACGCATGGCTTACGGAGGAAGAATTCAGTTCCACTTCCCCATGGAGATAAGAGGAAATAAACAAGAATAAGAACTAGAAAGAAAATAGAAGGAAACTCAGAGGGGTGTGTATATATATGCTTGTACATGTATGTGTAGTGTGACCTAGGTGTAAGTAGAAGTAGCAAGACGTACCTGAAATCTTGCAAGTTAATGAGACAGAAAAAATGACACCAGCAATCTTACAGGCTTTTGTTTTACACTCACTTGGCGGTTGCTGTCTACCAACCTACTACCTAGGAGTTTAGAAGTATATACATATAAAGATACACAACATATCCCTCCAAACTGCTAATATCCTGAACCCCTCCTTTAGAGTGCAGGCATTGTACTTCCCATTTCCAGAACTCAAGTCTGGCTATATAAAAATAACCAGTTTTCCTGAATCCCTTCACTAAGTATTACCCTGCTCACACTCAAACAGATCGTCAGGTCCCAAATACCATTTGTCTCCATTCACTTCTATCGAACACGTTCATGCATGCCTGCTGGAAGTCCAAGCCCCTCGCCCACAAAACCTCCCTTACCCCTTCCAACCTTTTCGAGGACAACCCCTACCCCGCCTTCCTTCTCCTACAGATTTAAATGCTCTCAATGTCATTCTACTTTGATCCATTCTCTCTAAATGATCAAACCACCTCAACCCCTCTTCAGCCCTCCCACTAATACTTTTATTAACTCCACACCTTCTCCTAATTTCCACACTCCGAATTTTCTGCATAATATTTACACCACACATTGCCCTTAGACAGGACATCTCCATTGCCTCCAACCGCCTCCTCGCTGCTGCATTCACAACCCAAGCTTCACACCCATATAAGAGTGTTGGTACTACTATACTTTCATACGTTCCCTTCTTTGCCTCCATAGATAACGTTTTTTGACTCCACATATACCTCAATGCCCCACTCACCTTTTTTACCTCATCAATTCTATGATTAACCTCATCCTTCATAAATCCATCCACTGACACGTCAACTCCCAAGTATCTGAAAACATTCACTTCTTCCATACTCCTCCTCCCCAATTTGATATCCAATTTTTCTTTATCTAAATCATTTGATACCCTCATCACCTTACTCTTTTCTATGCTCACTTTCAACTTTCTACCTTTACACACACTCCCAAACTCATCCACTAACCTTTGCAATTTTTCTTTAAAATCTCACATAAGCACAATATCATCAGCAAAAAGCAACTGTGTCAATTCCCATTTTTTATTTAATTCCCCATAATTTAATCCCATCCCTCTTCCGAACACCCTAGCATTTACTTCTTTTACAACCCCATCTATAAATATATTAAACAACCATGGTGACATTACACATCCCTGTCTAAGACCTACTTTTACCGGGAAGTAGTCTCCCTCTCTTCTACACACTCTAACCTGAGCCTCACTATCCTCATAAAAACTCTTTACAGCATTTAGTAACTTACCACCTATTCCATATACTTGCAGCATCTGCCACATTGCTCCCCTATCCACTCTATCATATGCCTTTTCTAAATCCATAAATGCAATTAAAACTTCCCTACCTTTATCTAAATACTGTTCACATATATGCTTCAATGTAAACACTTGATCTACACATCCCCTACCCACTCTGAAACCTCCTTGCTCATCAGCAATTCTAAATTCTGTCTTACCTCTAATTCTTTCAATTATAACCCTACCGTACACTTTTCCTGGTATACTCAGTAAACTTATTCCTCTATAATTTTTACAATCTCTTTTGTCCCCCTTCTCTTTATATAAAGGGACTATACATGCTCTTTGCCAATCCCTAGGTACCTTCCCCTCTTTCATACATTTGTTAAACAAAAATACCCACCACAAAAATATACCTGATAATATACACATGAAAGATAACTGAGAGTCTGGTCCCTAACCGTCTCATTATTTTAACACCTTACTGTAGAGAAAAATACAAAAGAAAGTGTGGAACAAGCCCAGTGAAGAGTAGGGCCAGGGATACAATTAGAGAACATTATGTCAACATCCATTCCACAAGACTTTTCAACATATTACCAGTAGATATCAGTGATGGAGTGAATGATGGTGAAAGTTTTTCTTTTTCGGGCCACCCTGCCTTGGTGGGAATCGGCCAGTGTGACAATAATAAAACAAAATCAGAAATATTGCCAGAACGATGATAAAAGTTCTCAAGAAGTTTAATGGCTTCCTTGTACTAGTGTGTATGTTGTATAGGATACACACATCATATTCTGAGATTCATACTACAATTTATTAAGAGAGCCTGATACTAGAAAGTGAACTTTGTGTGATTCAACAATTCTGTATACATATTACAGTGAGTATCAGCATTTTTGATGGAAAAAAAAAGGAAACAGTGCCAAGAGTCAGATGGAAAACTTTTTAAAGGAAGTGTTGTATCATTAATGAAATATTAACAAAATTGCTTGGTAGTTTACAGTGATAGTTGTATGTAAAACTGTAAAATGATGAAAGTATAAAATAGAGTACAATGGTACTCAGCAGAGTTACACTTTAGAACTTTAAAATAAAAGGAATATGCATTAACAGTTTAATGTTCACTTTTAATTTCGTTCTTTTATATTTTTTTTTATTATCACACTGGCCGATTCCCACCAAGGCAGGGTGGCCCGAAAAAGAAAAACTTTCACCATCATTCACTCCATCACTGTCTTGCCAGAAGGGTGCTTTACACTACAGTTTTTAAACTGCAACATTAACACCCCTCCTTCAGAGTGCAGGCACTGTACTTCCCATCTCCAGGACTCAAGTCCGGCCTGCCGGTTTCCCTGAACCCCTTCATAAATGTTACTTTGCTCACACTCCAACAGCATGTCAAGTATTAAAAAACCATTTGTCTCCATTCACTCCTATCAAACACGCTCACGCATGCCTGCTGGAAGTCCAAGCCCCTCGCACACAAAACCTCCTTTACCCCCTCCCTCCAACCTTTCCTAGGCCGACCCCTACCCTGCCTTCCTTCCACTACAGACTGATACACTCTTGAAGTTATTCTGTTTCGCTCCATTCTCTCCACATGTCCGAACCACCTCAACAACCCTTCCTCAGCCCTCTGGACAACAGTTTTGGTAATCCCGCACCTCCTCCTAACTTCCAAACTACGAATTCTCTGCATTATATTCACACCACACATTGTTCTCAGACATGACATCTCCACTGCCTCCAGCCTTCTCCTCGCTGCAACATTCATCACCCATGCTTCACACCCATATAAGAGCGTTGGTAAAACTATACTCTCATACATTCCCCTCTTTGCCTCCAAGGACAAAGTTCTTTGTCTCCACAGACTCCTAAGTGCACCACTCACCCTTTTCCCCTCATCAATTCTATGATTCACCTCATCTTTCATAGACCCATCCGCTGACACGTCCACTCCCAAATATCTGAATACATTCACCTCCTCCATACTCTCTCCCTCCAATCTGATATCCAATCTTTCATCACCTAATCTTTTTGTTCTTTTATATACCCTCCCAAATTCATACACCAACCTTTGCAGCTCTTCTTCAGAATCTCCCAAAAGCATCATGTCATCATTAAAAAGCAACTGTGACAACTCCAATTTGTATTAGTCTTTATCTTCCAATCTCACACCTCTACCCAATACCCCTGCCATCACTTCTCTTACAACTCCAGCTATAAATATTATCATTATTGTTATGTAAAAATGGCAAACTACAAAACAAAAAGCATTTAGGTACTTACCTTTAACATAGCTGATGATTGAAGGATTGGATGCAGTACAGACAGTGAATGGGCTCGTGCTTTCTCTTAGTACTTGATTAGAAAGTGAAGAAATATCAAACATTTCATCATCAGAATCAATTGGGACACATTCATCAGCTCTCTCTTCATTTGAGAGATCAAGTTTTGGAGCACTACACGCTGCAAGTTAAAATAAATAAATATAATATATATCTTTTCTTTCTTTCAACAACCCGGCCATATCCCACCGAGGCAGGTTGGCCCAAAAAGAAAAACGAAAGTTTCTTATTAAATTTAGTAATTTATACAGGAGAAGGGGTTACTAGCCCCTTGTTCCTGGCATTTTAGTTGCCTCTTACAACATGCATGGCTTACAGAGGAAGAATTCTGTTCCACTTCCCCATGGAGATAACCGGAAATCTTGCATGTTTATGAGACAAAAAAAGCATCAGCAATCCTACCATCATGTAAAACAATTACAGGTTATAATATTAATATTAATATAGTAGGTAGGTGGACAGCAACCACCCAGGGAGGTACTACCATCCTGCCAAGTAAGTGTAAAACGAAAGCCTGAAATTGTTTTACATGATGGAAGGATTGCTGGTGCCTTCTGTTTGTCTCATAAATATACAAGATTACAGGTACATCTTGCTACTACTACACTTAGGTCACACTACACATACATGTACACGTTTATTTATGCACACTCATCTGAGTTTTCTTTGATTTTATCTTAATAGTTCTTGTTCTTATTACTTTTCCTTTTATATCCATGGGGAAGCGGAATAAGAATCTTTTCTCCGTAATCCATGCGTTTTGTAAAAGTCAACTAAAATGCTGGGGACAATGGGCTAGTAACCCCTTTTCCTGTAATAATTACTAAAAAGAATAAGAAGAAGAAAACTGTCAAAGTGAGATGTCTGAATGTGCATGGATGTTGTGAGAATGATAAGAAAGAGATGATTGTGGATGTTATGAATGAGAAGAAGCTGGATGTCCTGGCTTTAAGTGAAACAAAGCTGAAGGGGGTGGGAGAGTTTCAGTGGAGAGGAATAAATGGGATTAGGTCAGGGGGTTTCAAATAGAGCTAGAGCTAAAGAAGGAGTTGGAATAATGTTGAAGGATAAGTTATGGCAGGAAGAGAGGGACTATAAATGTATTAATTCAAGGATTATGTAGAGTAAAATAAAGGTTGGATGTGAAAAATGGGTTATAGTAAGCGCATATGCACCTGGAGAAGAGAGAAGTGTAGAGGAGAGAGAGAGAGATTTTGGAAAATGTTGAGTGAATGCATGGGGAGTTTTGAACCAAGTGTGAGAGTACTTGTGGTTGGGGATTTCAATGCTAAAGTGGGTAAAAATATTGTGGAGGGAGTAGTAGGTAAATTTGGGGTGCCAGAGGTAAATGAAAATGGGGAGCCTTTAATCGAGCTATGTGTAGAAAGCGGTTTGGTAATAAGTAATACATATTTTATGAAAAAAAGGATAAATAAACATACAAGGTATGATAATAGCACATAATGAAAGTAGTTTGTTAGATTATGTATTGGTGGATAAAATGTTGATGGGTAGGCTCCAGGATGTACATGTTTATAGAGGGCAACTGATATATCGGATCATTATTTAGTTGTAGCTACAGTTAGAGTAAGAGGTAGATGGGACAAGAGGAAAATGCCAACAACAAGTAAGAGGGAGGTGAAACTGTATAAACTAAGGGAGGAGGAAGTTCGGGTGAGATATAAGCAACTATTGGCAGAAAGGTGGGCTGGTGCAAGTATGAGTAGTGAAGGGGGAGAGGGGGGTTGAAGAGGGTTGGAATAGTTTTAAAAATGCAGTATTAGAATGTGGGGCAGAAGTTTCTGGTTATAGGAGGGTGGGTGCAGGAGGAAAGAGGAGCGACTGGTGGAATGATGAAGTAAAGGGTGTGATAAAAGAGAAAAAGGTAGCTTATGAGAGGTTTTTACAAAGCAGAAGTGTTATAAGAAGAGTAGAGTATATGGAGAGTAAAAGAAAGGTGAAGAGAGTGGTGAGAGAGTGCAAAAGGAGAGCAGATGATAGAGTGGGAGAGGCATTGTCAAGAAATTTTAATGAAAATAAAAAAAAATTTTGGAGTTTAACAAGTTAAGAAAGCCTAGGGAACGAATGGATTTGTCAGTTAAAAACAGAGTAGGGGAGTTAGTAGATGGGGAGATGGAGGTATTGGGTAGATGGGGCGAATATTTTGAGGAACTTTTAAATATCGATGAAGAAAGGGAGGCGGTAATTTCATGCAATGGCCAGGGAGGTATACCATCTTTTAGGAGTGAAGAAGAGCAGGAGGTGACTGTGGGGGAGGTGCGTGAGGCATTACGGAGAATGAAAGGAGGTAAAGCAGCTGGAACTGATGGGATCATGACAGAAATGTTAAAAGCAGGGGGAGGGGTATAGTGTTGGAGTGGTTGGTATTTTTGTTTAATAAATGTATGAAAGAGAGGAAGCTACCTAGGGATTGGCAGAGAGCATGTATAATGCCCTTATATAAAGAGAAGGGGGACAAAAGAGATTGTAAAAATTATAGAGGAATAGGTTTACTGAGTCCTAGGTAGTAGGTTGGTAGACAGCAACCGCCCAGGGAGGTACTACCGTCCTGCCAAGGGAGTGTAAAACGAAAGCCTGTAATTGTTTTACATAATGGTAGGATTGCTGGTGTCCTTTTTTCTGTCTCATAAACATGCAAGATTTCAGGTACATCTTGCTACTTCTACTTACACTTAGGTCACACTACACATACATGTACAAGCATATATATACACATACCCCTCTGGGTTTTCTGCTATTTTCTTTCTAATTCTTGTTCTTGTTTATTTCCTCTTATCTCCATGGGGAAGTGGAACAGAATTCTTCCTCCGTAAGCCATGTGTGTTGTAAGAGGCGACTAAAATGCCAGAAACAAGGGGCTAGTAACCCCTTCTCCTGTTTATATTACTAAATGTAAAAGGAGAAACTTTTGTTTTTCCTTTTGGGCCACCCTGCCTCGGTGGGATACAGCCAGTGTGTTGAAAGAAAGAAAGAAAGAAGTTTACTGAGTATACCAGGAAAAGTGTATGGTAGGGTTATCATCGAAAGAATTAGAGGCAAGACAAAATGTAGGTTTGCGGATGAGCAAAGAGGTTTTAGAATGGGTAGGGGATGTGTAGATCAAGTGACATTGAAGCATATATGTGAACAGTATTTAAATAAAGGTAGGGAAGCATTTCATTGCATTTATGGATTTAGAAAAGGCGTATGATAGAGTGGATAGGGGAGCAATGTGGCAGATGTTACAAGTATATGGAATAGGTAGTAAATTACTATATGCTGTAAAGAGTTTTTATGAGGATAATGAGGCTCCGGTTAGGGTGTGTAGAAGAGAGGGAGACTACTTCCCAGTAAAGGTGGGTCTTAGACAGGGATTTGTAATGTCACCATGGATATTTAATATATTTATAGATGAGGTTGTAAAAGAAGTATATGCAAGGGTGTTGGGGAAAGGGGTGGGATTAAATTATGGGGAATCAAATACAAAATGGGAATTGACACAGTTACTTTTTGCTGATGATACTGTGCTTATAGGAGATTCTAAAGAAAAGTTGCAAAGGCTAGTGGATGAGTTTGGGAGAGTATGTAAAGGTAGGAATTTGCAAGTGAACATAGAATAGAGTAAGGTGATGAGGGTATCAAATAATTTAGATAAAGAAAAATTGGATATCAAATTGGAGAGGAGGAGTATGGAAGAAGTGAATGTTTTCAGATATTTGGGAGTTGACGTGTCAGTAGATGGATACATGAAGGATGAGGTTAACCACAGAATTTATGAAAGAAAAAAGGTGAGTTGTGCATTGAGGTATATGTGGAGACAAAAAAACATTATCTATGGATACAAAGAAGGGAATGTATAAAAGTATAGTGGTACCAACACTCTTATATGGGTGTGAAGCTTGGGTTGTAAATGCTTGTCCTGTCTATGGGCAATGTGTGGTGTAAATATTATGCAGAGAATTCAGTGTGGAAATTAGGAGAAGGTGTGGAGTTAATAAAATTATTAGTCTGAGGGGTGAAGAGGGGTTGTTGAAGTGGTTTGGTCATTTAGAGAGAATGGATCAAAGTAGAATGACATGGAGAGCGTATAAATCTGTAGGGAAAGGAAGGCGGGGTAGGGGTCGTCCTCGAAAAAGTTGGAGGGAGGGGGTAAAGGAGGTTTTGTGGGAGAGGGGCTTGGACTTCCAGCAAGCATGCTTGAGCATTAGATAGGAGTGAATGGAGACGAATGGTATTTGGGACATGATGAGCTGATGGAGTGTGAGCAGGGTAATATTTAGCTAAGGGATTCAGGGAAACCAGTTATTTTTATATAGCCGGACTTGAGTACTCGAAATGGGACGTACAATGCCTGCACTTTAAAGGAGGGGTTTGGGATATTAGCAGTTTGGAGGGATATGTTGTGTATCTTTATACATATGTGCTTCTAAACTGTTGTGTTCTGGGCACCTCTGCAAAAACAGTGATTATTTATGAGTGAGGTGAAAATGTTGAATGATGATGAAAGTATTTTCTTTTTGGGGATTTTCTTTCTTTTTGGGTCACCCTGCCTCAGTGGGAGACGGCCAACTTGTTAAAAAAAAATACATAAAGAGTGACTTAATTAGAGAGATTTAGGTAAATAACGGGCAATGACATTTTACCTTTTCCAATACTAGTATTACTAGATTCAAGAATCCCACTGTCATCATCTCTGGGAGTGCTAGAAGAGAAGTTAGATCCTGACAATTCCTGAGCAGAAGTAGCTTGGTGTGTGGGAGATTCCTGGACAAGAATGACCCGGTGAGATCTGGTAGGGCCAGGCACAGGTGAATCCTCTCTCTCAGTGGCAGGAGACACAGAGGCTTTCACTGGGGAACTAACTGCTGTTGCTGCTGCTGTTACTGTTTCCAATGTTGCTACTGTTTCTACTGTTGTTGCTGCTGCTGCTTCTGTTGCTGGTATACAGTCAGGAGACTCCTGGAAAATGTACATACTGTATTAACAATGATAATGAAGGAGGTATACCCAGTCTCCCACTCCATTAAGTCTCACAGTATACTGAATTATAAGAAATATTTAATAATTTCAAAAGTGAAACCTCCCTACCCGAAATCATTTTTATTTACAGGTGGGCCCCACTTATGGAGCATGTTAGGTTCCATGCTACTGCTGTAACGTGAAAATCACTGTAAAGTGAAACACAGCCTTTTTTTACTTTCAAATGTATATAAAAGCCTGATCTGATGATATAGTGAAGATCAACGAGCAATCCCACAGTCTGGCTGCCAGTCCTGTTAGGAGTGACATCTAAACTGTCATACCTGTGTGCCTCTGCAAAGACAGTGATATAGTGTGAATGATGGTGAAAGTATTGAATGATAGTGAAAGTGTTTCTTTCTTTTCTGGGTCACTCTGCCTCAGTGGGAGGCAGCCATCGTGTTAAAAAATAAAATAAAAAATAAAAGTCTGATAACATGTTTACACTATCATATATTAAGTGAGCAACAGAGCTATTCCTAAAAAATGCATATACAGTACACACATTACTTACCATAAAATATTTTTGTCATGAGCTATTAGTGAGTGGTGAATATATAAAGAATGGGTATAAATGAAAACTGCTGCACTAGCGAAATGCTGTAAAGTGAAGTGCTATAAAATGGGGCCTGCCTGTATTTAAAAGAAAAAAATGCAAACAGAAAAACTAACAAAACTCTCAAGCAATACAGTAGGGCCCTGACTTGCAATGTTCCCCATTTACAACAATGGCCCTCTGGAGCCAATTTATTACATATGAACAAGTGACTCGCTCTTTTAACAATGGGGTTACTTATGAAGACAGTGTTATACATATTATTTTTTCTTGGTTAGATTTTTACCAAATGCATTTATACTTTGTATATGCTCCTTTTATGCACATACAGAGCACTCAGATTAGTTCTGAATAGATTGACCAGGAACCAGGGATTGAATATTTATGACTGTAAGGATGTTTGCTTAGGCTGTGGTATCGTCAGTAGCTGCTCATTTATACTGGACATGCTCAGTGAGCGAGGCACAGGACAACAATACACCTTTCCTCACACACTTGCCACTAACTTCCCACTGACTCAAGGAATTTTATTTGACCCTCTACTCCTTCTCATCTACATCAATGACCTTCCTAGTGCATTACAGGAACTTAAATTGATTCTGTTTGCAGATAACACAATTTTTGTCATCTCCCATCCAGATCCAGTTTTCCTCAACAATACGTGGACGTGTCAGCGGATAGGTCTATGAAAGATGAGGTGAATCATAGAATTGATGAGGGGAAAAGGGTGAGTGGTGCACTTAGGAGTCTGTGGAGACAAAGAACTTTGTCCTTGGAGGCAAAGAGGGGAATGTATGAGAGTATAGTTTTACCAACGCTCTTATATAGGTGTGAAGCATGGGTGATGAATGTTGCAGCGAGGAGAAGGCTGGAGGCAGTGGAGATGTCATGTCTGAGGGCAATGTGTGGTGTGAATATAATGCAGAGAATTCGTAGTTTGGAAGTTAGGAGGAGGTGCGGGATTACCAAAACTGTTGTCCAGAGGGCTGAGGAAGGGTTGTTGAGGTGGTTCGGACATGTAGAGAGAATGGAGCGATACAGAGTGACTTCAAGAGTGTATCAGTCTGTAGTGGAAGGAAGGCGGGGTAGGGGTCGGCCTAGGAAAGGTTGGAGGGAGGGGGTAAAGGAGGTTTTGTTGTGCAAGGGGCTTGGACTTCCAGCAGGCATGCGTGAGCATGTTTGATAGGAGTGAATGGAGACAAATGGTTATTATACTTGACGTGCTGTTGGAGTGTGAGCAAAGTAACATTTATGAAGGGGTTCAGGGAAACCGGCAGGCCGGACTTGAGTCCTGGAGATGGGAAGTACAGTGCCTGCACTCTGAAGGAGGGGTGTTAATGTTGTAGTTTAAAAACTGTAGTGTAAAGCACCCTTCTGGCAAGACAGTGATGGAGTGAATGATGGTGAAAGTTTTTCTTTTTCGGGCCACCCTGCCTTGGTGGGAATCGGCCAGTGTGATAATAAAAAAAAAAATAAATAAATACTGTTAATGCAGAACTCATAAAGATATCAACATGGATGATGACCAATAGACTCACTATTAAAACTGACACAACTTTTTACATAATGTCTGGGAATAGAGTTAATAATATACAATTGAATATAATGGTAAATAATTATTTTTTTTTTTTTATTATCACACTGGCCGATTCCCACCAAGGCAGGGTGGCCCGAAAAAGAAAAACTTTCACCATCATTCACTCCATCACTGTCTTGCCAGAAGGGTGCTTTACACTACAGTTTTTAAACTGCAACATTAACACCCCTCCTTCAGAGTGCAGGCACTGTACTTCCCATCTCCAGGACTCAAGTCCGGCCTGCCGGTTTCCCTGAATCCCTTCATAAATGTTACTTTGCTCACACTCCAACAGCACGTCAAGTATTAAAAACCATTTGTCTCCATTCACTCCTATCAAACACGCTCACGCATGCCTGCTGGAAGTCCAAGCCCCTCGCACCCAAAACCTCCTTTACCCCCTCCCTCCAACCCTTGATACACTCTTGAAGTCATTCTGTTTCACTCCATTCTCTCTACATGTCCGAACCACCTCAACAACCCTTCCTCAGCCCTCTGGACAACAGTTTTTGGTAATCCCGCACCTCTCCTAACTTCCAAACTACGAATTCTCTGCATTATATTCACACCACACATTGCCCTCAGACATGACATCTCCACTGCCTCCAGCCTTCTCCTCGCTGCAACATTCATCACCCACGCTTCACACCCATATAAGAGCGTTGGTAAAACTATACTCTCATACATTCCCCTCTTTGCCTCCAAGGACAAAGTTCTTTGTCTCCACAGACTCCTAAGTGCACCACTCACTCTTTTTCCCTCATCAATTCTATGATTCACCTCATCTTTCATAGACCCATCCGCTGACACGTCCACTCCCAAATATCTGAATACGTTCACCTCCTCCATACTCTCTCCCTCCAATCTGATATTCAATCTTTCATCACCTAATCTTTTTGTTATCCTCATAACCTTACTCTTTCCTGTATTCACCTTTAATTTTCTTCTTTTGCACACCTACCAAATTCATCCACCAATCTCTGCAACTTCTCTTCAGAATCTCCCAAGAGCACAGTGTCATCAGCAAAGAGCAGCTGTGACAACTCCCACTTTGTGTGTGATTCTTTATCTTTTAACTCCACGCCTCTTGCCAAGACCCTCGCATTTACTTCTCTTACAACCCCATCTATAAATATATTAAAACAACACAGTGACATCACACATCCTTGTCTAAGGCCTACTTTTACTGGGAAAAAATTTCCCTCTTTCCTACTTACTCTAACTTGAGCCTCACTATCCTCGTAAAAACTCTTCACTGCTTTCAGTAACCTACCTCCTACACCATACACTTGCAACATCTGCCACATTGCCCCCCTATCCACCCTGTCATACGCCTTTTCCAAATCCATAAATGCCACAAAGACCTCTTTAGCCTTATCTAAATACTGTTCACTTATATGTTTCACTGTAAACACCTGGTCCACACACCCCCTACCTTTCCTAAAGCCTCCTTGTTCATCTGCTATCCTATTCTTCGTCTTACTCTTAATTCTTTCAATTATAACTCTACCATACACTTTACCAGGTACACTCAACAGACTTATCCCCTATAATTTTTGCACTCTCTTTTATCCCCTTTGCCTTTATACAAAGGAACTATGCATGCTCTCTGCCAATCCCTAGGTACCTTACCCTCTTCCATACATTTATTAAATAATTGCACCAACCACTCCAAAAACTATATCCCCACCTGCTTTTAACATTTCTATCTTTATCCCATCAATCCGGCTGCCTTACCCCCTTTCATTTTACCTACTGCCTCACGAACTTCCCCCCCACCTCACAACTGGCTCTTCCTCACTCCTACAAGATGTTATTCCTCCTTGCCCTATACACGAAATCACAGCTTCCCTATCTTCATCAACATTTAACAATTCCTCAAAATATTCCCTCCATCTTCCCAATACCTCTAACTCTCCATTTAATAACTCTCCTCTCCTATTTTTAACTGACAAATCCATTTGTTCTCTAGGCTTTCTTAACTTGTTAATCTCACTCCAAAACTTTTTCTTATTTTCAACAAAATTTGTTGGTAAATAATACACTCATTATAAAACAAGATGAGAAAAAATTCTTAGGCCATCAATTTCAAATTCAAAACTCACATCCAGTATATAACCAAGATCTCCAAAACAGTGTGGATCATTTCTAAGAAATGTTATGATGTGCATCAAGCATCATTACTTACTCTATACTACTCTCTAATTTATCCTTAACTTACTTACTGTATTTGTATCTGGAGATGTACAATGGCAAACTACCTAAAGCCAATAGTAGCACAACAACAACAAACAAAGTTGCTATTTGAATGATCACTCAAGCAGGGGCTAAGCAATATACTCCTTCATTCTTCAAAAATTAAATTTTGTCTCCCCAGGATGTGACCAACACGACTGATTAACACCCTGGTACTTACTGCTAGGTGAACAGGGACAGCAGGTGTAAGGAAACATGCCCAATATTTCCACCCAAGCCAGGGATTGAACCATGGACACTCAGGTCCTGCACTCTGAAGGAGGGGTGGGGATACTGCAGTGTGGAGGGGCATCTGAACTGTGGTACTGGTGTGCCTCTGGCAAGACAGTGATGGAGTGAGTGATGGTGAAAGTATTTCTTCTTTTATGGGTTACCCTACCTCAGTGGCAGATGGCCGGTGTGTTAAAAAATTATTGTTGTTGTTATTACATTTATGGGGGAGTGCTAAACCCAGAGGGGTCATACAGCACCTGGGAGATTTGGAGGCATTCAGATTCAATCCAAGGAAGAAAAACACAGGTCCAATTCCTTAGATCAAGAGCACATCACTGGCATCAAAAGAACTCCCTTGAGGGGACACCTTGGCTGAACCGAAGCCAAGAGTTGGCAGGGAAATAAAATGCTTCCATGCCCTCTCTAAAGACTGCTGCTATACTAATAAAATGATAATATAACATAACACTATCCAGATGTTCTCTCAGTCATTTATGATCTGCAGATAAAAAAATTTGACACCTAAACTGAATTATCCTCATCATACATACTTCTTGGTAATCTTTCTTTCTCTCAACACATCAGCCGTATCCCACCAAGAAAGAAAGAAAGAATGTGCCATGCAGTATGTATGTCATTTCAGTTACTGCAATAATAGCTATGCTTCCTGTGCACATAATTAATCTTAGTTTACTTGCCTTATTCATAGTCCTGTGGCTATGTGTATAATAAATGCCAAGAAAGTTTTGCTTTTGTATATTTTCTCCATATCCTTTATTTTGGGGGATTTTATTATTGTCCTTCATACACACAACTTTTACTAGGTTCAGAAATTTTGCTATTATAGCATCTACAGCTCCCAGTGACCTCTCTTCATTCTTAGAGCCATATCTACAGCCTTCCTGAGGCTTAACCTACAATACATATTTACTATACTGAATCTGTCCCCCCACTGTACACTGACATTCACTTATCCAAGAGAAGAAATGCCAGCTGCTCTAAGCTACATCAATCACCAGCTAAGAGCTATATCAGCTTGGGGAAATACAAACTCAAATGACGATCGTCTCTAGGCACCATGATGGTAATGCTGGTGCAGTAGTAAGGATGAATGGGAGGGTGTTGGCACCTGGAGAAGTTGATATCCTTGGGGTGAAATTTGACTCCAAACTAACCATGAAGAACCATGTTGTAAATCTAGCAAACAAGGCAGCCAGGAAGCTTACAGCACTTCGCCGTATCTCGTATCTGCTTGACAGTAGGGGTTGCAAGATTCTGTACGAGGCACAAGTACGCTCACACCTTGAGTATGCCCCACTTTCTTGGTTTGCCTGCCCCCCCTCTCATCTGCGACTGCTTGACAGAGTGGAGAACAGAGCAAGAAGTCTCATCTCTCGCCTGGACCCATAGGATAGGATAGGATAGGATTTCGTTCAGATTTTTAACCCCAGAGGGTTAGCCACCCAGGATAACCCAAGAAAGTCAGTGCGTCATCGAGGACTGTCTAACTTATTTCCATTGGGGTCCTTAATCTTGTCCCCCAGGATGCGACCCACACCAGTCGACTAACACCCAGGTACCTATTTGCTGCTAGGTGAACAGGACAACAGGTGTAAAGAAACGTGTCGAAATGTTTCCACCCACCGGGAATCGAACCCGGGCCCTCCGTGTGTGAAGCGGGAGCTTTAGCCACCAGGCCACCTGGATAGATCTGTCATTTCAGCAGTGCCTTCAACACAGGAGGGATGTGGGTGGCCTTACTGTTATGTACAAGGCCAATATTGTCAAAGTACCACACTTGGATCCACTTCGAGGACAGTGTGAAACAAGCTTTTATGCCACAAGACAGGCAGAAAGCAACTTCACTCTGGCTTACCCTTCTCCAGAACATCACTCCATCTGAGATCATATATACCCAGGATGACTTGAGTATGGAACACATTTGTACAGCATAATGATGTCAACGAGATAAAGTCAGTTGATCAAATGAAAATGCTGGCCCACGGATGGCTCCAACTTCATCCTGTTCCCTACTTGTATGTCTCATAACAATAAAAATGCTTTCAAATGAGCTGATGTAGGTAATAGCTCTTAGCTTGCCAATAAAGTTAGGAATCCTTAACCATAAATAGCTTGCCAATAAAGCTAGGGATCCTTAACCTTGTCAAACCCTGTGTAAAAAAAAAAAAAAAAAAAAAAAATCTGTTTGTCTCTCTTCCTCTTGCAATCGTCAAATCATTTAATTTTCTCAAATCACTGGCACATATTAGTTTAAACTCGCAGACAGGTCATTGTTGGCTATCTTCACTGAACTGGGGAAAGCTTTTACTCCTGTACATAACACCTGTATCAAAAAAGGTATCCCAGTTTTCAATTAATTTCATCTTTGACTCTTAGCAGTACTTACTGGCACTTAACTCCAATAGCCTGGATAGCCATTAGTTTCTGACATTCATCCTAGGTAAGATAACATATCACAGGTGTGCCAGCCTTTTTCTTTAATAATATCTATAGTCTTTTAGAACTTCTGCAGCAACTCCTCACACTCAGGCAAAAGATGGGTTCACATATACTTCCAGTCAGGATATAATTTATTGTTATTATTATTACACTGCCAAATCTAAAGAAACACTATGAATAAACCCAAAGCTCAATACTGTAGCCAAAAGTAAATGATCTGACCTGTGGTGAAGGGGAGGAGGAGGTCGAATCCTGAAGTTCTGAGCGAGAGGTAAAACCCAGCTCTTTGAGCTCTTGTTCTTCTATAGAATTACTCACATGATCTCTCTCTGCTTTATGAACTTCCACCTTTCTGGACTGAGGTAAAATACCCTAAAATGATGGAATTCTTATTGTAGAATAAAATTGGCAATGAATTTTCTTATTTTACCTGTAACTTAATACTGAAGAATCCAAGATATAAATATAGTACTACATATAAATTACTTGAGAACAATATGTAATGGTTTGGAAAACATTAGAGCCAAAATTTACCCAAAATTCTGTAGTGAGTGAAGAAAGAATAAATAATACTTTATAAGAATTAATAGTGTATAGTGCATTCCTCACTTATAACCCTAATTTTTTCTTAAAAATTATGAAACAGACAGGTTCTGGATGAAGACACACTGGCCCATACTGGACAAACGTCAGAATCATCAGACTTAGTTAATACATTTGGAAGATTACTGGACTCTCTCTCTCGACACCATCACTAAAGACAAAATCCAGAATCTCCTGATATTCCCATTTTGTCTAATGACTCGAACATTTGCCCAGCCAATTATTATTTGGCCAGTTTCCAAAATCCATTAAAAGGGGGTCCATTAATTAAAAGTGTTAGTGTCCTCATTAAACATGAGAAGTCATGGTTCATTCCTCATTGGTGTGAGTTCAGTTTGATCACGCTCATCTCTGCCTCTCCATTTCCTAGGGCAGGTAGTTTCTTCATGGGATCTGGGACTTCCAGCCTTGAGATGAACATTTCATCACTAAAATACCCAAGTGCTGCAAGTTTATTAACATTTTGGCTCTGCAGCTTTAGACCACCAAGCAGTGAATCCATCTTTCAAATTCTGTAGGCTCAAAGTTTCACCAAATCCCCAGATTCTGTATTTTGCTTACTAACTAAATTTAATCAAAGCCAGGGGTTCCAGGTGATATTGTCTATAAAACTCAAAGAATGATATGCAACTGGAGATAAAGCAGGCATAACACTGAGCATAAAGCAGGAGTTGGACCATTACTGGAGCTCAGAGGCAAGAATCAGTGTGAATGACATAAAGACATTTTCCAAATGGATCATTTAAACTCTTAAACAGAAATGCATTATTGATCCTTGAAACCATGTTAATATTGCAAACATTTTGTTACTCTAATTTATATTTTAACAGTTATTGAACCTATTACACCCAATGTAAAAAAGCCAGAGCTCCTTCACATTTACATTTTAGTAAATTCAAATTAAAACAGATTTCTTCTATAGTGGCCAGCATGTGTAATTCTTTTATTTGCTTATAAGGTACTACTGTAGGGTAAAATTTTTAACAAAATCTGGTCTATCATGAAGAGCTTTAAGTCCCAGCGAACAAAGTAATATGCATGAACAAGATACAAATATACATGAGCATAAAAAGTATACTCCATGGGGAAGTAGAAAAAATTCTTCCTCTGTAAGCCATACATGTCGTATGAGGCAACTAAAATGCTGGGAGCAAGGGGCTAGTAACCCCTTCTCCAGTATAAATTACTAAATTTAAAAAAATTAGTTTTTTCTTTTTGGGTCACCCTGCCTCATTGGGATATGGCCAGTATGTTGAAAAAGAAAAATGTATAATAACAACGATGGCTGAAATAACTTACATTAGGAATTCCACTTATCCCTGGGTGCTGACTAATGTCATCAGTAGCAACATCTGAGGCATCACTATCATGTTCTTCTACTGCTTGAACTCTTTCTCTTGATCTGGCCTCATTTCTCAAAGCCTCATGTCTTTCCCTTTCTGCTCTGAGTCTTCTTATCCTTTCTTTTCTTTCTTCCATCTCTTTTTTTAGTTGCTCACGTTCCTCCTCGAGATCACTTTCTACCCGCTTGTTAATTTCTTTATAATGAACCACTATGGTATCTATCAACCACCTGGCCAAAGAAATACAATTATATATTAATTACATGTGTATCTGTCACTCCTTTACAAATAGGATGAAGTATACACAAGAACTAAAATATGCTACAGTTATAAATTACCAAAGACCTACTAAAGGTGGCTGTACTGTGTAACATACATATTTATTGATAAAGTGGGTGAGGCACTGTCAATAAATTTTGCTGAGACTAAAAAAAATTTTAGAGTGAGATAAATAGGTTAAGAAAGCCTAGGGAACAAATGAATTTGACAATTAAAAATAGAATAGGGGAATTAGCAGATCGGGAGTTCAAGGTATTGGAAAGATGGCGGGAAAATTTTGAGGAACTGTTAAATATTGATGAAAAGAGGAAGACAGTAATTTTATGCACTGGCCAGGGAGGTATAACATGTTTTAGGAGTGAAGAACAGCCGGATGTGAGTGTGGGGAAGGTGCATGAGGCATTGAGTAGAATGAAAGGGGCTAAAGCAGCTGGAACTAATGGAATCATGATAGAAATGTTAAAAGCAGGGGAGGATATAGTTTTGGAGTGGTTGGTATTTTTGTTCAATAAATGTATGAAAGAGGGGGACAGTACCTAAGGACTGACAGAGAGCATGTATATTTCCTTTATATAAAGGAAAGGGAGACAAAAGAGATTGTAAAAATTATAGGGAAATAAGTTTACTGAGTATACCAGGTAAAGTGTATGGCAGGGTTATTATTGAAAGAATTAGAGGATAAGACAGAGAGCAGGATTGCAGATAAACAAGGAGGCTTTAGAATGGGTAGGGGATGCACAGACCAAGTACAATGGAACCTCTACTTATGAATTTAATCCATTCCATGACTTTCCTCGCATCTGGATTTGCTCATTTGCCGAGTCAATTTTCTTCATTTAAATTACATGTAATTGAAATGGAATTAATTCGTTCCAGTGGAATTCCAGGCACAAGAAAATATTTCAATAATTTCCCTAATATCAACTCTACGGCTTATTTATCTATCACAATTCATGTAATATGACATAATAAACAATATTAATAACATAGAAACAGTAATACCTAGAATGAAAAAAATACAGTCATTTGTATGGGGTAGGGGTGGTGAAGCCTTCCTGCTCCTGTCATTGTAGAGAACCTGGAAAACCCCAAAAAAGTCAATAGGTGACTTTAATTGTCCATTTTTAATGCTACACTTAACATGCTAAAGGGGGGAAAAATCAGAGTGGGAAGTGTCCGGCGGTTTCCACAGGGGTCGTGTTGGGCCCCCCTGTGTTCACAATCTACATAAACGACAAGATGGGGGCATAAAGCGACATCGGAAAGTTTCCCCGATGACACAAAATAGGCGTCAAAATTCATTCGACGGGGACTTTGAACATCCAGGAAGATTTGAATAACTGATCATGGTCGGAGAGTGGCAGATCAGTTTAATATAGAAAATGCAAAGTTTAAATGTGGCGGACAAAAACCCATGCCAATTAAACAAATAATTGTAATCTTAATATTAGGGTTTGCAAAAAAGATGTGGAGTTTGGTTAGCAGTAATCTGAAACCAAGAAAAACAGGCTAGTGTTCGAAAAAAAGTAATAAACCCTTGGCTTCTATAAAGAAGCAAAAAATAATAGGAGCCCTAGGTTGTTTTTTAATCTATCATCCTTGGTTAGCCCATTTAGTTTATGCTGCACGTTTTGGTCCCTATTACAGAAGGATATAAATTCTCTGGGAAAATGAAAAGGAGGATGACAAAATTTTTTCCCATGTACAGAAACCTTCCCCATAGGTAGACTAAGGGCCTGAAACTGCACTCTCTAGAAAGACGTAGAATTAGGGGGGGTATGTTAGGTGTATAAATGGAAAACAGGGGAAAAATAAAGGGGGTGTAAATAGTGTGCGAAAATCTAGCCCAGACAGGACTCGCAGCAATGGTTTTTAAATTGGAAAATTCAGATTCAGGAGGATATAGGGAAATATGGTTTTTGGGAATAGAGTTTTGGGTGAGTGGAACAAACCCCAAGTACCGTTAAGAGGCCAGAACGTTTTTAGCTTTTTAAAAAAGGTTGGATAAATACATGAGTGGTGTGGGGGGGTGGATTAGACCCGATAGCTTGTGCTACCAGGTCGGTTGCGTGTTCCTCCCCTTTAAATCAGTGACCTATTGACTGGTTGGGTGCATTGCTTAGCCGGGGGGAGACTTGGACCGCTCGCATGGGCCCTAGGCCTTTGCAGTGTTCCCTTTGTTCTTATGTTCTTTCTCAATGTACACTTTTCCACGCGCTTTGTGTTGTCGCCACTGCTCTTTGATGTCTGCCCTGCTACCTCATGATGTCGCCCCTGTGCTTTTGATGCTGCCACTGCTGCTTCATGTTTTCTGCCTTTTTTCCTTCATGTTGTTGCCACTGTACCTCATGTTGTTTGCCCCTCTGCTTCATGTTGTTCCACTGTTTCCTATGATGTCTGCCCCCTGCTCCTTTATATTCTGCCCCTGCTGCTTCATGTTTTCTGCCACGTTTCTTGTGTCTGTCCTACTTTCCTAGCGTTGAAGGCTTTCCAATTGTGAAGTTTAGGGGGCGTGCCAAAGGCAGGTATTGGGCAGTGTTTATTGTTTTTTCTTGAACATCGCCAAAGACTCAAACATTTCTGCTACTTTGAGCTCAATTTCAAGGTACTTTTCATTGTGAAACCAATCAAAATCATATCTATTTCTGTAGTATATCTTCTATTCTATCAAATGAGACCAAAAAAACGAGAATACAACCATAAAAACCATATGAAAATATACCGCTAAGGGGAGGCTAATGGCTGAGAAGTTAACTCCATTATTTATGGTCCGATTTCTTTCATTTTTGGTGTACTCTAAGAAGCATCTTTCCATTATACATTGCCCAAATTTCAATAAGATAGTCCAACAAACAACTGTGATCCAATTCTCTAGATAAAGAACAAGAGCCCCTCACCAGCATCAAGGAACCTCCCTTGAGGCCCACTTGCATCTGGAAATTTCGCTCGCGTCTGGAAGCAAAAAAATCGACCGAGCAACTGCTCGTATCTGGAAAAACTCGCACGTGGATGCACTCGTAAGTAGAGGTTTCACTGTATTTACATTGAAGCATATGAGTGAACAGTATTTAGATAAAGGCAGGAAAGTTTTCATTGCATATATGGATTTAGAAAAGGCATATGATAGGGTGGATAGGAGAGCAATGTGGCATGTTGCAAGTGTATAGAATAGGTAGTAAGTTACTAAATGCTGTAAAGAGTTTTTATGAGGATAGTGAGGCTCACACTCCAACAGCTTGTCAAGTCCCAAAAACCACTTATCTCCACTCACCCCTATCTAACATGCTCACATATACATGCTGTATGGCCAAACCCCTTGTACACAAAACCTTTTTTACCCCCTCCCTCCATCCTTTCCTAGGATGGCCCCTACCCCTCCTTCCTTCCACTACAGATTTGTACACCCTACAGGTCATCATATTTAGATCCATCCTCTCTATATGATAAAGCCACCTCAACAATCCCTCCTCAGCTCTCTGAATAATACTTTTAGTAACTCCACACCTCCTCCTAATTTGCACACTATGAGTTCTCTGTATAATATTTACACCACATATTGTCCTTAAACATGACATCTACACTGCCTCCAGCCTCCTCCTTGCTGCAACATTCACAACCCATGCTTCACATCCATATAAGAGTGTTGGTACCATTATACTCTCATACATTCCCTTCTTTGTCTCCATTGATAACATTCTTTGTCTCCACAGATACCTCAATGCACCACCCATCCTTTTTTTCTTTATCAATTCTATGATTTATCTCATCCTTCATAAACCCATCTGTCGACAAGTCTACTCCCAAATATCTGAACACACTCACTTCTTCCATACTCCCTCCCTCCAGTCTTATATCCAATTTTTCTCTAACTCATTTGATATCCTCATCACATTACTCTTCTAGGTAGTAGGTTGGTAGATAGCAACCACCCAGGGAGGTACTACCATCCTGCCAAGTGAGTGTAAAACAAAAGCCTGTAACTGTTTTACATGATGGTAGGGCTGCTGGTGTCTTTTCTCTGTCTCATAAATATGCAAGATTTCATGTACATCTTGCTACTTCTACTTACACTTAGGTCACACTACACATGCATGTACAAACATATATATACACACCCCTCTGGGTTTTCTTCTATTTTCTTACTAGTTCTTGTTCTTGTTTATTTCCTCTTATCTCCATGGAGAAGTGGAACAGAATTCTTCCTTTGTAAGCCATGCATGTCATAAGAGGTGACTAAAATGCAGAGAGCAAGGGGGCTAGTAACTCCTTCTCCTGTATACATTACTAAAGTTAAAAGAAAAACTTTTGCTTTTCTTTTTGGGCCACACTGTCTTGGTGGGATATGACTGGTTTGTTGAAAGATGATCACCTTACTCTTATCTATGTTCATTTTCAACTTTCTTCATTTACACACCCTCCCAAACTCATCCACTAACCTATGAAACAAAACTAGCATGGTGAGGCTACACATCATTCTCTTCCATTACAGAATTTAAAAAAAAAAAAAGCTATTTACCAATGCTTTCTAACTTCATCTTTTTCTATATTACTATCAGACAAGCAAAGTTGTCTACAAAGATTGAATGCAGTCAACATTTCTTCCAGAATATCTTATACTGTACAATATTACATTGACAATGTTTATATGGCAATAATGAGCAAAAACTTACCGAAAGCCATCAGCTATAGGTTTGTCTGGTTTATGTTTGCGTGTAGTGATAGCTGAACAAGTTTCCACTCTCGTAGGGCACTTGTATTTGTTGACCACTTGCTCTACACTGAGAGATTCTACCAGGTCAATTTCATCCAAGGCACCATCAACATCTTGCTTGTTGGCAAGTCTGAAACGAAACAGTTTACCATAAAACTCAAGCCTCCTCATTCACCTCGACTACACATGGCTTATAGAATACATAAACTTTGTGGAAGTTTCAATACATATTATTGCTATACAACAGGAATTACAAAGATATGAATAATTAAAATCAGTTTACTGATGTGCTAAACTTTGTATGAGAAATGTTAGTACACTGCAGTCAGAGGTAGACTGGTTATACAGGAATCTGGGCAATGCCTGGTGGGCCATTGGGCTGGGTAAAAAAGTAAAAAAAAGCTGAAATTTTTTTACAAAAAACTGAAGTCAAAGCCACTGCACAAAGACTGAAACGAAAATGGAATGCTTCTTAGCTGAGCAGTGACAGCACACCTCTGGCCCTCAGCAGTTAATGAACCGACCTGCTAGATGGCAGTTGGCCAGGATGGCTTTAAGACCCAGTCTCCTGATTACAGTGATTGTTCGATTATCAGAATTATCTGGTTGAGACTTGGCTGGAAACACTATCTCATTAGACAACTCTCAATGTTACATTTTTCCTAGTTTGATTAAATGCTACTGAGTATTGTATTTTCACACCATATATAAGTGCATTTTATCAAAAATAGGTTTCATTTATCAGCAATTCTTGGCACACACTGCTTTATCTATTAAAGTAATCCTTGATACACACAGCATTTGTCATGAGTTCTTGACACACAACATTCATGTCATCAGTTCTTGAAACACACAGCTGTCATTAGTCCTTGATACACACAACTTCTATGTCATCAGTCTTTGACATAAATTAAACTCCATCCATTTAATAATTTAATTTTCTAAATCTAAAGAGAATAAGTGAGTACTTTTGTGATAAGAATTCCATTTCTGAATAATTAGATAACAGATTTTTATGTCATGCATTTAATACCAAAGCAAAAAGCACTGTGCTAGTATAAACAATCTTCCTTACACTGAGCTACACAGATACCTATAACCCTTTTTATGATCACAGTCTTAGCTTGCTGACACAGCTTAAGCAATAATAGCATTATGATAATTTTTTTTTTTTTGGTTACCTTATAGGAACTTAAAACACTTTATTCATATGTAATGATAATTTATCTTTTCTCGTCATGCCACCATTCAGAAGCTATTTCTTATCTTTATTATTTTTGTTATTTGTTATAACACTGAGGCAGGGTGACCCAAAAAGGAAGAAACACTTTCATCATCACTCACTCCATCAATTTTGCCAGAGGCGTGCTGACACTACAGTTGGTACACCTTATATTTTTTTCCTTTTTGTATGAAAAATATTCTTACCTTATTTCATCTATTAAAAATATAAAAATACTGTATCAACTCATCAAAACATTCCTACAATTATACATCATACTACAGTACAGAATATGTTCTTGTACAGAAGATATTAACACCATGGAAAAAAAAGATTGATCCACTGGTACAAAATAACAACTTTTGGGTCTGCCTTCAGCAGATGCAAAAAAGTTAATGCTCTGTTTGTCCCAAATAGTAATTCATAAGAGTGGTAACTTTTGGTTAACTGGTTACGTAAATTTTACATATTTAGTGAACATTTGATAAAGTGATCATAATCTAACTCTCACAATTCATGCCAACAGCATTGTAAAGTAATTGCCTATGGGGTATCTGGCATCTCCCAGAATGCTGCCATTAGGCCTATAAAAATGAATAACAAGGGTTACTTGCTCTCTCTCTCACTTGATTCCAGCAGTTACAGTAACAAGGTTTAGTACTTGTTTGTTGCTCATTAGACATGTTTTGTGGCCAAAATTGCTTGGTTAGGCTAGGGTACTTCTATGATGATACAGCAGTCCCAAGGGTTGTGTTGAGCTACTGTGGTTAAACCCATTTTGTGGCCCATAGGTGTTTTATGTCAATAGTTTCTGACAAGCTTAGGGTTGCATGTTATCTCTTGTGTGTTGTTGGACCTGCAGCACCAGTGGTAGACTTTGAGAAAAATATCTGGCTTCAGGTCAGCTGAGGTTTCAGTGCCTGAAGTGTAATTTCTGTGTCTGTTTGCATTATGTGATCAGAACAGGCCTCATTAACCTTTGTAAAATGTAGAATCCAAAAAATGTATCAGGGACTAGCAAATGACTTGCTACTACTCTTATCTTATAGAGTAACAACTTTTCAGCAAATAATGCACAATATGCCACTTAGGTTTCCTAATGGAAAACAAATAAATGGTAATAATTAAAGTTAACATGCAAAAAAAAAATTGCCATTTTTTTTATTCACTACATCCAGCATGGCAAATTATTTTAATGATAACTCACACAAGAACTGGCTTTCCTGATATTTTCTTATCTGCCAGGAGGCTAAACAAGACATCCCGACATTCCCGCACTCTTGCTGCATCACTTGAATCGACCACAAAAATGACACCATGTACCTGAAAAGTTCAATGTAGAGTACAATATGAATAAAACTTGGTGAAACAGCAGTAATAATCTGATTTGATTAATGAAAATCTGAGTTTAGAATTCAGCAGGTTAACCCTTTGAGATAAGCTGTGAGTGGTAAATTTGGGCCTAGATATGAGAGAATGCATCTATGTGGTAAGTGTGCACCATGTAAAACAAATCCTGCAGCACGCAGTGCATAATGAGAAAAAAAACGCGACTATTTTTGGGGGATTAAAACACCGACTTTGCGGTGTATTTTCGTATGGTTTTTACAGTTATATTTGTGGTTTTCATTTGATAGAATGGAAGATATATTACAGAAATAGAGATGATTCTGATTGGTTTTAGTACTGAAAATAGCTTGAAATTGAGCTCAAAGTAGCAGAAATGTTCAACAGTAAACAAATTGCATCACACGTCCAATACACATCAACTGGTGACTCTAATTTATGTTCACGAATGCACTGATATTATTTATACAATCATTACAATTTTGCATAACAGTAAATCTTCTATTTTTTTTGGTGTGAATAAAAATTCTTTATGTAAATAAAAAATCAAAATGGAATTCATCTGTAAAGCTTGGAAACATAACTAATAAACAGAGGAAATATTATTTTAGTGCCAGGAATGTTTGCATTGTTTATTCTAGACCCTATTTTGAAACTGGAATATTTTGAACTTTGTGTGAATTTGGCAAAATTACCAATTTCTTATCACTTTATTGGGTATCTGAAATAGTTGAATGGGCAGTTTCTTGTGATAAATCAATAAAATAAAAGTAATACAAGTGAAATAGCTAAGAATTTGGTCAACTGGAATAACATTATTGGCCTAAAATAGGAGTCAAAGTGGGCAAAATCACTGATGTGTAAATATCACTGATGCAGTAAAATTCGCACTAGTGTATTTTCATCATTTTTCCATCAAATTTCATATCCACTGTCCTCTCATTCCCTCCAACTGAATAATTATCCAATACTGTGTGTACATACAACTGACTGCAATTCTCCCATGCCTTTGCCTGCCTTAAATATAACTTTGTTAGACTCAAGCACATTCAAAAACTTACCATATCTAATGATGTGAACCTGACAATTATGCCATAAACAGATAACAGGATTTTTTTTAAACAAGCTGGCCATCTCTCACAAAGGCAGGTTGACCCAAAAAAGAATCACTTTAACCATCATTTACATTATCACTGTCATGTCAGAGATGAGCAGACACAAAAGTTTAACTGTTCCTCTAAATAGCAAAATCCGTACCCCCTCCTTTACAGTGCAAGCATTGTACTTCCCACCTCCAGGACTCAAGTCCAGCTAACTGGTTTCCCTGAATCCCTTCACAAGATATTACCTTGCTCACACTCCAACAGCTCGCCAATGTCCAAAAAACATTTTTCTCCATTTATTCCTATTTAACACACACACACATGCCTGCCATATGTCTAAGCCCCTTGAAGGATTATTATTATTATATTCCGGAAAGAATTAAATCCATTAAGAATCAATGAGAGAAATGGCAGACGAAGAGGCTGAGGTGCTCAGATAAGACATCAACAGACAGAAGGGTAAAGGAGAAAAGGGTTACAATTTGTGTAGTAAATCAGTGTCAGTTAAGAAATATGGGAATCTTAATTAAAAGTGAAGCTGGAAGACAGATGGTAAGCATATTATGGAGACAAAGAAAGGTATTAAAAAAAATGGCAATGAATAGGACAATGAATCAAGAAATGTTGGACTATCAGAACTACCAGACAATTCTTGCAGTGGTGCTAGCAATTCTCCAAGAGATGACTGTGTGCGAGTCTAGCGACACCAATATCCAGGCATACCTAAGACTGATTTTAAGTGTTTATCCTCCCAGCCTGGTCTGAGGCCAGACTTCCTTGTTGGCTCCATACTCAACCAGGCTGTTGCTGCTAATGATTCCTAAGCCTAGCAAGTAGGTTGGGATCAAATTTGCTTGAGAACTTCTACTTTTATTCTGACAAAATATTTTATGTTTGTTAGTATAATGCCAAAGAAACATAAACCACAAATGTTGACAGTGTTCTCCGGTTGTGTATATTTCCCCCCACATCTCTTACTCCAATATATTATGTTACTGTATAGACTGAAGGCCTACTCATCAGCTGTCTCCCACAGAGGTAGGGTGACCCAAAAAAGAAAGAAACACTTTCACCATCATTCACACATAATCAATGTCTTTGCAGAGGTGCTCAGATACGACAGTTCAGATGTCACTCCAAACAGCCAATGTCAAAAACCCCTCCTTTAAAGTACAGGCATTGTATATCCTACCTCCAGGAATCAAGCCTGGCTAACTGGTTGCCATGAATCCCTTCACAAAATATTACCCTGCTCACATTCCAACAGCTTATGTCCGAAAAACCATTTGTCTCCATTTACTCATATCTAGCATGCTCACACAAAATGTGTGAGCATGTTAGATATGAGCATTTTTTTTTTTAACACATTGGCAGTTTCCCACTAAGGGCAGGGTGACCCAAAAAAAGAAAGAAAAACCCAAAAGGAAAGAAAGAAACTTTCATCATCACTCAACACTTTCAGCATCACTCATACATAGTCAATGTCTTTGCAAAGGCGCCCAGATATGACAGTTTAGATGTCCCTCCAAACTGCTAATATCCCAAACCCCTCCTTTAAAGTGCAGGCATTGTACTTCCCATTTCCAGGACTCTAGTCCGAGTAACACATATATACTTATATACAGTGGACCCTCGCCTAACGATATTAATCCGTTCCTGAGAGCTCAACGTTAGGCGAAATTATCGTTAGCCGAATTAATTTTCCCCATAAGAAATAATGGAAATAAAATTAATCCGTTCCTGACACCCCAAAGTATGAAAAAAAAAAATTTTTACCACATGAAATATTAATTTTAATACACACAAACTGAAGAAGACATGTACAATTACATGACACTTACCTTTATTAAAGATCTGGTGATGATTGATGGGATGGGAGGAGGGGAGTGTGTGGATGGTGTTAATGTTTAGCAGGGGAATCCTATTCCATTAGGACTTGGTGTCAAGTCTTTTCCCGGGGCTACTTCCCTTCTTCTTTTAACCCTTTGACTGTTGCGGCCGCATATATACGTCTTACAAGGTACCGTGTTAGACGTATATATGCTCATAAATTCTAGCGGCTTCAAATCAAGAAGGAGAAAGCTGGTAGGCCCACATGTGAGAGAATGGGTCTGTGTGGTCAGTGTGCACCACATAAAAAAAATCCTGGAGCACGCAGTGCATAATGAGAAAAAAAACTCCAACAGTTTTTTTAATTAAAATGCCGACTTTGTGGTCTATTTTCGTATAGTATTTATGGTTGTATTCTCGTTTTCTTGGTCTCATTTGATAGAATGGAAAACATATTATAGAAAAACAGATGATTTTGATTGATTCTACTATAAAAAACCTGGAAATGGAGCTCAAAGTAGGGGAAATGTTTGATTTTTGCCGATGTTCAAAAGTAAACTAATGACATCATTGTCCAATAAATGTCCAACTAGCCATTCTAATATGCAGTCATGAATGGGTTGATGTTATTTATACAATTATTACAGTATTGGAGTAGTCTGCATAATGGTAAATTTTCTATTTTTTTGTTTGAATAAAAATTCAAAATAGAAAGCAAGAGTAATATCAGAGGGGCCTGGAGACATGACTGATGAACAAAGAAAATGTTATTTTAGAGCCAGGAATGTCTGCATTGTTCATTCTGGACCTTATTTTGAAATTATCATATTTTTTAATTTTTGTGAAATTGGCCAAATTGCAAATTTCTGACCACGTTATTAGGTATTTGAAATTGGTAAATGGGCAGTTTCTTGTACTCAATCGATAGAAAAAATGGAGTTCTAAAGAAATAGCTATGAGTTTGGTCGACTGAAACAAAGGAATTAGCAGAAAATAGGGCTCAAAGTGGGCGAAATCACCGATTTGTAAATATCGCCAAGGTCGCTAACTTTGCGAGAGCGTAATTCCATCAGTTTTCCATCAAATTACTATTTTTTGGTGTCATTACAATCGGGAAAAGATTCTCTATCATTTCATAAGAAAAAATAATTTTTTTTTTTTTTTTTTAAATTTTGCGACACCAGGAGACACCTCAGTATTGGGGGTTGCGACAGTCAAGGGGTTAATGCCACTAGGACCAGCTTGAGAGTCACCAGACCTCTGTCGCACAACATATCTGTCCATAGAGCTCTGTATCTCCCGTTCCTTTAAGATTTGTCTAAAATGGGCCATAACATTGTCATTGTAATAGTCACCAGCACGGCTTGCAATAGCTGTGTTAGGGTGATTTTCATCCATAAAGGTTTGCAGTTCAACCCGCTTTGCACACATTTCCTTAATCTTTGAAGTAGGCACAATGGATTCCACAACTGGCACAGGCTTCTCAGGGTTAGCCCCAAACTCTTCGAAATCTTTCTTAATTTCCATACTAATTCTCACCCTTTTTATCAAAGGATTGGCACTAGAAGCTTTCTTGGGGCCCATGGTGACTTATTTTGCAGGTGCAATCACTAAAAACGCTGTGATAATATGAAATGTTCCGATTGTATGTTTGGATGCGACCGGAGTGGCTGGCTTGTAAACACTGGCACCCATGGGACAAGTGAGGCGCGCTCAGGCCACACGTGGACACGTCTTGAATGGAACGAATTGCATTGGGCGAGTTTTTTAGCGCTAGCCGAGGCAAAATTTTTGCTTTAAAATGTATCGCTAGGCGGATTTAACGTTATGCGATGCGTTCGTTAGGTGAGGATCCACTGTAATCATATTTTTGTCCAACCTATTTCTAAAGTTGCAAGGGTTCAGATTCATTGAAACTATTGGCAGATTGTTTTGCTTATCACAACTCTATTGCCAAACCAGTATTTTCCCATTTCTTCTCTAAATCTACTGTAAATTTAAGTAATTTAACCCTTAAACTGTCCAAACGTAGATCTACGTTCACGTGCGTAGCGCTCCGACCTTGATTTTCCCCATTTGAGTGCATGTAAAAAAATTGCAGATCTACGTTCGGAGCCTGCCGCATGTAAATGTATATCTACGTTTGGACAGTTTAAGGGTTAAATCCATTATTTTGAGTTCTTTTTTGGTTCAAGAGAGTGGGTACAGGGCTCTCAATTTACTTTTTTTATAAGATTCCTTAAACAGAGGATTAATTTTGTCATTCTTCTTTGTATGTTCTCTAATACATTCATATTCATTCTGATATACAAAGACCAAAACTGTGCTGAATAATATAAGTAAGGCCTTACTAATGATGTTGAGAACTCTAGTATAATTTCTACACACCTGTTACTTATACTTCATATAAATCCAAGTAGTCAGTCAGCCTCATTACATATGCCTAAGTGCAACTATCAGATTTATGTTTACTATGCCTCCCAAGTCTTTTTTATATTCTGTATGGTCAGGTTCCTTATGTAGTTCTTTAGTGTGAGGGGAGTTACATTCATTCCTGGGGATTAGGACTTTGCACTTTTCTACAATAAACTGCATTTGCTACTCTTCAGATGATGACAATAATTTGTCCCAATCTTCCTAAAGTTCAATGCTACCTTCTATAACAAAATCTTGTGGCAATTTTATCCTCAACACCTAGCTAAGCTTTCCTACTCTCATGCCTGTCAATCATTCACATAAAAAAAACTCTATTTTTATTCACAGACAAAAATTATTGCTGTTTTGTCAATACAATTTAATTTATCAACCAAAGACAGGAAGTTATGAAAAAATTAAAGAAATTAAACATAGTCTATCAATGTAGGTTTGCAAATTATATGTGCATTTCTCACAATTGGTTTGCAGCAAATTTCTTGAATAAAACTACTTAAATCTGGTTAGATTAGGTTAGGTTTAATTAGGCTAGATTTTCCACCCTCAATAATAAATAACCCAATATAATACTGTGAGTATGGAGGAGGTGAATGTATTAAGATATTTGGGAGTGGACGTGTCAGCGGATGGGTCTATGAAAGATGAGGTGAATCATAGAATTGATGAGGGGAAAAGGGTGAGTGGTACACTTAGGAGTTTGTGGAGACAAAGAACTTTGTCCTTGGAGGCAAAGAGGGGAATGTATGAGAGTATAGTTTTACCAACGCTCTTATATGGGTGTGAAGCATGGGTGATGAATGTTGCAGCGAGGAGAAGGCTGGAGGCAGTGGAGATGTCATGTCTGAGGGCAATGTGTGGTGTGAATATAATGCAGAGAATTCGTAGTTTGGAAGTTAGGAGAAGTGCGGGATTACCAAAACTGTTTCCAGAGGGCCGAGGAAGGGTTGTTGAGGTGGTTCGGACATGTAGAGAGAATGGAGCGAAACAGAATGACTTCAAGAGTGTATCAGTCTGTAGTGGAAGGAAGGCGGGGTAGGGGTCGGCCTAGGAAAGGTTGGAGGGAGGGGGTAAAGGAGGTTTTGTGTGCGAGGGGCTTGGACTTCAGCAGGCATGCGTGAGCGTGTTTGATAGGAGTGAATGGAGACGAATGGTTTTTAATACTTGATGTGCTGTTGGAGTGTGAGCAAAGTAACATTTATGAAGGGGTTCAGGGAAACCGGCAGGCCGGACTTGAGTCCTGGAGATGGGAAGTACAGTGCCTGCACTCTGAAGGAGGGGTGTTAATGTTGCAGTTTAAAAACTGTAGTGTAAAGCACCCTTCTGGCAAGACAGTGATGGAGTGAATGATGGTGAAAGTTTTTCTTTTTCGGGCCACCCTGCCTTGGTGGGAATCGGCCAGTGTGATAATAAATAAATAAATAATACTGTGAAACATCAGGATAACCTTGAATTCAAAATCCATTGTACTGAAATGCAACGGACACAATCTGTTGTATGGGAAGCATATGGGACATGCATACTACTTTTAATGGACAAAATCTTGATGCAGTGGATTAGGTCCATTGTATGGGTGTTATGCAGGGTTCTGCATGACATTGTAAAGTATATACAGTCATAACAGTATGAATGTTTACCTGGAGTTTATCTGGAGAGAGTTCCGGGGGTCAACGCCCCCGCGGCCCGGTCTGTGACCAGGCCTCCTGGTGGATCAGAGCCTGATCAACCAGGCTGTTGCTGCTGGCTGCACGCAAACCAACGTACGAGCCACAGCCCGGCTGATCAGGAACTGACTTTAGGTGCTTGTCCAGTGCCAGCTTGAAGACTGCCAGGGGTCTGTTGGTAATCCCCCTTATGTGTGCTGGGAGGCAGCTGAACAGTCTCGGGCCCCTGACACTTATTGTATGGTCTCTTAACGTGCTAGTGACACCCCTGCTTTTCACTGGGGGGATGGTGCATCATCTGCCAAGTCTTTTGCTTTCGTAGTGAGTGATTTTCGTGTGCAAGTTCGGTACTAGTCCCTCTAGGATTTTCCAGGTGTATATAATCATGTATCTCTCCCTCCTGCATTCCAGGGAATACAGGTTTAGGAACCTCAAGCGCTCCCAGTAATTGAGGTGTTTTATCTCCGTTATGCGCGCCGTGAAAGTTCTCTGTACATTTTCTAGGTCGGCAATTTCACCTGCCTTGAAAGGTGCTGTTAGTGTGCAGCAATATTCCAGCCTAGATAGAACAAGTGACCTGAAGAGTGTCATCATGGGCTTGGCCTCCCTAGTTTTGAAGGTTCTCATTATCCATCCTGTCATTTTTCTAGCAGATGCGATTGATACAATGTTATGGTCCTTGAAGGTGAGATCCTCCGACATAATCACTCCCAGGTCTTTGACGTTGGTGTTTCGCTCTATTTTGTGGCCAGAATTTGTTTTGTACTCTGATATACAGTCATAACAGTATGAATGTTATAATTGCAAAGCATAATTTTATAATTCATAATGTGCTTTTGGGGGGTACTGTAAAGTAGGTTAAACTATAATTATAAAGAAATCCTGCTAGGGATTTATTTTCCAACTGTGTTTGGGTATGCGGGGTAAGCGTGGCTTGGGGCATTCAGGTGGAGTCAGCATGGCTTGGAGGCTGGCGTCAGACATGCTGTGTATTTAAGCTAAATTTGTAGTTGTGTACTCCTTTTGTTTATCTAACTCAAGCCATAGGCTCTTTATGGTTTACCTGTATGCTCACCTAGGCTCTGACATGGTCAGGGTGCTGTGGGATGAGTGAGGAAATAAGAAATGGGGATGGTATTGGAGTAGTGACGACCTGGCGCTGACTAGGCCTAGTGGTTATGGTTGCTGGACCGCCAGCCTCCTACAAAGTCGCTGTTTTAATAAAAAATCACGGTCTCAGTTTATTTTCTCTCATTATACACTGTGTGCTGCAGGATTTGTTTTATGTGGTGCACACATATCACATAGATGTATTCCCTCATATCTAAACCCAAATTTACCGCTCACAGCTTATCAGAGTGAGCTGAGCTCATGGCGTAGATCTATGGTTTGGACCCTGAACATAAAGCCGTAGATCTACTGCATGGAGCCTAAAAGGGTTAAGAGGAGGGGCAATGCTTGTAGCTCAGCAGCACATAGCCACTAACATAAATAGTACAACACTTCCAGTTTTGTTGTTGCACTTTTCCATGGGATCATATTTTATGACAGTTTCTCACAAACTGTAAATCTTATCCTGAAGTGTTTCCTGGTGTCGCAAAAAAAAAAAAAAAAAAAAATCTTATGAAATGATAGAGAATCTTTTCCTGATTGTAATGGCAATAAAACAACGAAAGTTGATGAAAAACTGACGGAATTATGCTCTTGCAAAGTTAGCGACATAGGCAATATTTACGAATCGGCAATTTTGCCCACTTTGAGCCCTATTTTCGGCTAATTCCATTGTTCCAGTCGACCAAACTCGTAGCTATTTCTTTAGAACTCCATTTTTTCTATCGATTGAGTACAAGAAACTGTCCATTTACTGATTTCAACTACCCAATAACGTGGTCAGAAATTTGCAATTTGGCCAATTTCACGAAAATTAAAAAATATAACAATTTCAAAATAGGGTTCAGAATGAACAATGCAGACATTCCTGGCTCTAAAATAACATTTTCTTTGTTCATCAGTCACATCTCCAGGCCCCTCTGATATTACTCTTGCTTTCTATTTTGAATTTTTATTCAAACAAAAAATAGAAGATTTACTGTTATGCAGACTACTGCAATATTGTAATAATTGTATAAATAATGTCAACCCATTCATGACTGCATATTAGAATAGCTACCTGGACATTTATTGGAAAATGACATCATTTGTTTACTTTTGAACATCGGCAAAAATCAAACATTTCCCCTACTTTGAGCTCCATTTCAAGGTTCTTTTCATAGTAAAACCAATCAAAATCACCTCTATTTCTATAATACATTTTCCATTCTATCAAATGAGATCAAGAAAACGAGAATACAACCATAAATGCTATATGAAAATAGACCACAAAGTCGGCATTTTTAATTAAAAAAAAAAAAGTCGGAGATATTTTTTTCTCATTATGCACTGCGTGCTGCAAGATTTTTATTATATGGTGCACACTGACCACACAGACCCATTCTCTCACATGTGGGCCTACCAGTTTTCTCCTGCTTGATTTGAAGCCACTAGAATTTGTATGTATATATACGTCAAAAACGGTGGCTTGTAAGATGTGTATATACGACCAAAACAGTCAAAGGGTTAATAAACAATTATATACCATATGCATGCACTGTGTATTAGTGTTCAAAACACAATCCATAGTTTTAAATACGTGTAAGATTTTATTTTACTTTCTCACAAGAGAGACTTTATACTATCATCATTTTAGATGCATACAAAAATGAAACACTATAGTGTATTGTACATGGATGTATGAGCCAATTTATATATAAAAAAAACTACTTCCCTTTTGTAGTAGTTTTATATTACTCTATGTTATTCAAATATTCATGGAACTTACAAAGTCATTCAGAGAGTAATTTTTGTAATCTTACCTCTGAGAAATATTTTGCCCAAACTGGTCGAATCTTATTTCCTCCTCCTAAGTCATATATGGTGATCTCGCAGCCTCTGTATTCCAGACTCTCAGGGGCAAACCCCACAGTTGGGGCCACATCCTCCACAGGATCTGAAAAATTATTCATATGAAAGCAAGAATAATTTTACATGTGAAATATTATTTCTATATGAAGAGAAACCTTAGTGTAGTTATACACAGCCTATTAGTTTCAAACATTTTGAGGACATCCCTTTCATCAGAGCCTAAAATATAATTTAAAATTCTCATAAAATAAAAAAGGCCTTGTAAATACTGTATACATAAGCACTTCAACATAATAGTTGGGTAAAATAAAGGAACTAACACTACAGATTTAACTGAAACTGAATATGACCATCATTCACTTCAAAATAAAAGAGGTGTACTGATTTCCATTATTCCTTAGAGATAGTTTCTCTCTGTACGAAGAGACCTGTATATGATCAGGTTCTGCTCCAGAGTATACAAACCCAAAATTTAAAATATAACATGGACATGACATTGGTATTTCTCTTCATGGTACTGAGAGTGTACCCTCAGCATATATTACAGTGCCATGCATGAAAGAATGTAAATGCTTACGTATATATAATTTGTAAATCAAATGAAATAAAGTATGAAGTAATCAGTGCTTATTATTTATGAAGAATATATCATTGTATGAAAACATTTAAGAACCATCTTATAATTTATATTTTATTCAATATCAAAAACCTGTGTGTCTACCCAAGAGAACAAGACATCTCGTCATATTACTGAAATTTACCTTTCTAGTTTCTCTTTCCCATGCTTGTTACTGTCACAAGTTCTGGTGACAGTACTTACATTCATTAAGGTTGAGCATGTTCCTTCTCATTTATTTTAACATATCAGCCATTTCCTACAAAGGCAGGGTGGGCCAAAAAAGGAAACACATTCATCATTAGTCATTCAACAGCTGTCTTGCTATTAGTCAATGGACATCATAATTCATTAAAGCTTTTTGAAATGCAACATCTCCATTCACTCTACAGAGGGCTTGCACTGTATTTCCCATTTAGAGAACTTAAGTCCAGATAACTGTCTTCTCTGAATCATAGTTTAGGTGGCAAAAAAAATACATCAATCTTCTGACATCAAAATGTAATATAATTCTTGGTCACACACAAGCAATTCTTCCTTGAGTAATATCAACGGCACTTACCTCCCACAATACTCTTGGCAGCTGTTGTTTTCCCAGCATTATCTAACCCCACCAGAAGCAAAGTGACGGGCCTAAAAACAATGGAACAGGTTACTTCATACCCATTATATACTATAAAGAGCATACATGCATACATATGCATACAAACACACATACATACATTTACATATAGCAAAACCTCAGTATTTACTATATCCTTATTTACTAACTTGGATTTTTCACAATAAAAGGCCATCAGCAAAAAAATCAGTTCTTTACACTATTACAAGCCCTTCACAAGTTGGTTAACTGCTTTTATGCTATCATGATGACCATAACTGTTTGAGATATTTAATTGAATTTTATTTTTATCAGCTATTTTAACCCTTAAGCTGTCCAAGCTGATCTACGTTCACATGCGTAGTGCTCCAAAAGTAGATCTACTTTTTTTTTTACATATTTTCAAATATAACAAAAAAAAAAAAGTAGATCAAAGTTTTTTTACACTTTTCAAATGTAAAAAAAAAAAAAATGAAGATCTACATTTTTTACATACTTTCAAATGTTGAAAAAACATAGATCTATGTTTGGACAGTTTAACCCTTAAACGGTCCAAACGTATATATACGTTTTTTCAGCATTTGAAAGTATGTAAAAAAATGTACATCTTTTTTTTTTTTTTTACATTTGAGAGAATGGAGCGAAACAGAATGACTTCAAGAGTGTATCAGTCTGTAGTGGAAGGAAGGCGGGGTAGGGGTCGGCCTAGGAAAGGTTGGAGGGAGGGGGTAAAGGAGGTTTTGTGTGCGAGGGGCTTGGACTTCCAGCAGGCGTGCGTGACCGTGTTTGATAGGAGTGAATGGAGACAAATGGTTTTTAATACTTGACGTGCTGTTGGAGTGTGAGCAAAGTAACATTTATGAAGGGGTTCAGGGAAACCGGCAGGCCGGACTTGAGTCCTGGAGATGGGAAGTACAGTGCCTGCACTCTGAAGGAGGGGTGTTAATGTTGCAGTTTAAAAACTGTAGTGTAAATCACCCTTCTGGCAAGACAGTGATGAAGTGAATGATGGTGAAAATTTTTCTTTTTCGGGCCACCCTGCCTTGGTGGGAATTGGCCAGTGTGATAATAATAAAAAAAATTTGAAAATGTGTAAAAAAACTTTTATCTACATTGTTTTTGGTTATATTTGAAAATATGTAAAAAAAAAAATAGATCTACTTTTGGAGCACTACAGATTTGAACGTCGATCTATTTGGACCGTTTAAGGGTTAAGGGTTAAACCATATACATTTCTATTTTTTGCATATTACCTTTTTTTGGCACAATATATGGTATGCTCACTTATGTTTGTTAAAAATAAGAAGAATGGATTTGCTTTTGGATTTTAGTTGTGTTGATTGTACAGGAATACAAATACATGTACTGTAATGATTGAATTCTATATATATTTTTTATTTTTTTTTAAAAATACAGTACATATTGTTTTGTATATGAACATTTGGTAAATGTGTGGCAGACTCTTTCAATTTTTTAATACTTATAAGTAAAAACAATTGGACTTTATTCAGATTTTTGCTGTGTTAATTCTATAGAACAATGATAAAATATTTTTTACAAAGTAAGTTCAGTGATTTCTGGTACAGTACAGGATAATTCAGTGTATGGGTGATGGAGACATATTTTTAGCAACAATTATCAAAAAACAACGGGGATTATTTTTAACATTGGCATTGAAGATAAAGCTGCTTCAGGTGTTCAGGAGAACCATCTGAATTTGCCACATACTCATGGGGTCTCAGGAGCCTAACACAGCAAATATGGAGGTTTCACTGTATATAAACCCTAGTTTTATATCTATTTAATCACACAAGTGTTACAGAAAAGCAGCATATAAATGAAAGTATTTTTAAATACTGTGTGTGTGTATATTTGTGTATGTGTATATGTATGTGTGTATGTGTGTATGTGTGTATGTGTATATGTATGTGTATATGTATGTATGTGGTATATGTATGTATGTATGTATGTGTGTGTGTGTATATATATATATATATATATATATATATATATATATATATATATATATATATATATATATAATATATATATATATATATATATATGTTTATAGAGGGGCAACTGATATATCAGATCATTATTTAGTTGTAGCTACAGTTAGAGTAAGAGGTAGATGGGAAAAGAGGAAGGTAATGAAAATAAGAAAAAATTTTGGAGTGAGTTAAACAAGTTAAGAAAGCCTAGGGAAAGTATGGATTTTGTCAGTTAAAAAACAGAGTAGGGAGTTAGTAATGGGGAGAGGGAGGTATTAGGTAGATGCGAGAATATTTTTGAGGAACTTTTAAATGTTGGGGAAGGGAGGCGGTAATTTCATGCACTGGCCAGGGAGGTATACCATCTTTTAGGAATGAAGAAGAGCAAATGTAAGTGTGGAGGTACATGAGGCATTACGTAGAATGAAGGGGTAAGCAGCTGGAAACTGATGGATCATGACAGAAATGTTAAAAGCAGGGGGGATATAGTGTTGAGTGGTTGGTACTTTTGTTTAATAAATGTAATGAAGAGGGGAAGGTACCTAGGGATTGGCGGAGAAGCATGTTATAGTCCCTTTATATAAAGGGAAAGGGGACAAAGAGAGATTGTAAAAATTATAGAGGAATAAGTTTACTGAGTATACCAGGAAAAGTATACGGTAGGGTTATAATTGAAAGAATTAGAGGTAAGACAGAATGTAGGATTGCGTATGAGCAGGGAGGCTTCAGAGTGGGTAGGGGATGTGTAGATCAAGTGTTTACATTGAAGCATATATGTGAACAGTATTTAGATAAAGGTAGGGAATTTTTATTGCATTTATGGATTTAGAAAAGGCATATGATAGAGTGGATAGAGGAGCAATGTGGCAGATGTTGCAAGTATATGGAATAGGTGGTAAGTTACTAAATGCTGTTAAGAGTTTTTATGAGGATAGTGAGGCTCAGGTTAGGGTGTGTAGAAGAGAGGGAGACTACTTCCCGGTAGAAGTAGGTCTTAGACAGGGATGTGTAATGTTACCATGGTTGTTTAATATATTTATAGATGGGGTTGTAAAGGAAGTAAATGCTAGGGTGTTCGGGAGAGGGGTGGGATTAAATTTTGGGGAATCAAATTCAAAATGGGAATTGACACAGTTACTTTTTGGTGATGATACTGTGCTTATGGGAGATTCTAAAGAAAAACTGCAAAGGTTAGTGGATGAGTTTGAGAATGTGTGTAAAAGGTAGAAAGTTGAAAGTGAACATAGAAAAGAGTAAGGTGATGAGGGTATCAAATGATTTAGATAAAGAAAAATTGGATATCAAATTGGGGAGGAGGAGTATGGAAGAAGTGAATGTTTTCAGATACTTGGGAGTTAACGTGTCGGCAGATGGATTTATGAAGGATGAGGTTAATCATAGAATTGATGAGGGAAAAAAGGTGAGTGGTGCGTTGAGGTATATGTGGAGTCAAAAGACGTTATCTATGGAGGCAAAGAAGGGAATGTATGAAAGTATAGTAGTACCAACACTTTTATATGGATATGAAGCTTGGGTGGTAAATGCAGCAGCGAGGAGATGGTTGGAGGCAGTGGAGATGTCCTGTCTAAGGGCAATGTGTGGTGTAAATATTATGCAGAAAATTCGGAGTGTGGAAATTAGGAGAAGGTGTGGAGTTAATAAAAGCATTAGTCAGAGGGCTGAAGAGGGGTTGTTGAGGTGGTTTGGTCATTTAGAGAGAATGGATCAAAGTAGAATGACATGGAAAGCATATAAATCTATAGGGGAAGGAAGGAGGGGTAGGGGTCGCCCTTGAAAGGGTTGGAAAGAGGGGATAAAGGAGGTTTTGTGGGCGAGGGGCTTGGACTTCCAGCAAGCGTGCATGAGCGTGTTAGATAGGAGTGAATGGAGACAAATGATACTTGGGACCTGATGATCTGTTGGAGTGTGAGCAGGGTAATATTTAGTGAAGGGATTCAGGGAAACCGGTTATTTTCATATAGTTGGACTTGAGTCCTGGAAATGGGAAGTACAATGCCTGCACTTTAAAGGAGGGGTTTGGGATATTGGCAGTTTGGAGGGATATGTTGTGTATCTTTATGCGTATATGCTTCTAAACTGTTGTATTCTGAGCACCTCTGCAAAAACAGTGATAATGTGTGAGTGTGGTGAAAGTGTTGAATGATGATGAAAGTATTTTCTTTTTGGGGATTTTCTTTCTTTTTTGGGTCACCCTGCCTTGGTGGGGGACGGCCGACTTGTTGAAAATATATATATATATATATATATTTTTTTTTTTTTTTTTCAACAAACCGGCCGTATCCCACCAAGGCAGGGTGGCCCAAAAAGAAAAACGAAAGTTTCTCTTTTTAAATTTAGTAATTTATACGGGAGAAGGGGTTGCTAGCCCCTTGCTCCTGGCATTTTAGTCGCCTCCTACAACACGCATGGCTTACGGAGGAAGAATTCTGTTCCACTTCCCCATGGAGATAAGAGGAAATAAACAACAACAAAACTAGAAAGAAAATAGAAGAAAACCCAGAGGGATGTGTATATATACATATATATGCTTGTACATGCATGTGTAGTGTGACCTAAGTGTAAGTAGAAGTAGCAAGACGTACCTGAAATCTTGCATGTTTATGAGACAGAAAAAAAAAGGACACCAGCAATCCTACCATCAAGTAAAACAATTACAGGCTTTCGTTTTACACTCACTTGGCAGGACGGTAGTACCTCCCTGGGCGGTTGCTGTCTACCAACCTACTACCTATATATATATATATATATATATATATATTATATATATATATATATATATATATTATATATATTATATATATATATATATATATATATATATATATATACACACACAGTGGAACCTCAAAAATCGAACTTGATCTGTTTCAGGAGCTAGTTCTAAATTCGAAAAGTCTGAAATTCGAAGTAATATTTCCCGTAAGAAATAATGGAAATACAATTAATCTGTTCCAGAAACCCAACAATATTCACACAAAAAATACATTTTATAGAGATTAATTACAGTTTTACATAAAATGAATACTATAGTTTTTAATTATGTATAGTAATACATATAAAATAACATTTTTACTTATCTTTATTGAAGATTGGTGATGGCATCTG